TTAACGTCGCGTCCAAGATTATTGCACGTATATAGCGACGTGCATGCACGTGTGTGTGTGTTTGGTTGCTTGTACTAGTCCTGACTGATGCAGATTTATAGTGCTAGCTCACTGAGATACCATGCCGCAGTTTAACATGAATACCCCACTCAGACACAGTATACTGACTCCGAGCCGACCAGTCCTTGTTTTAACCCCTTAATGCCGAGCGCCAGACAGGGTAACAACAAGTTCCATCTTTTAACGTCTTTTGTAATGACGCGGCCGGGGATCGAACCCCGGACCTTCCGCTCTCCGGGCGGACGCTCTACCACAAGACCACGGAGGCGGCTCGACCTATGTACGACGACATCAAGTAGCGAGCGCATATTCGAATGCCTAGAAATGACTTCATGATAGAACAACGTTTTATCGCAAATTAAACCACGCTTCGTTATTCATTGTACTTTGCGATTTATTGCGTAGCTATCTTACATATAACAATAAAATACGCCTCCATACAACAAGCCTCAGTGACCGAGGGATTGGTGATGTCATTTCCAAGTGACGTCATGGAAACGATGATTTTGGATGATAAATCACAATGCTGTATTGGTGAGTTCAGCCACGTTAACCACACTCTCGACAAATGAGTCAGAAATACACAATCCGCACTCATACCTAACATTACATAAGCTGTTGCTTACGTGCCAAATATTCTAAGAAGAGAAAATTGGCAATGACCATAACATTTCTGTTGATGTTAATACATTTTGCGTTTAAACGTTGTGAATTGATTATTGACGTAATACATAATTTATACTCACATAACATGAATCTGCAAACATTTGTTTACTAGTATCTATTATCTACATCGTTTTAACCATGGAACATTTTTTTACAAACACTATCAAAGGCCTATTGGATAGTCTACAACTACACAAAACTGTTTATTCTGAAACAAGACTTAGTGTTATCTTTAGTGTGAGCAAGTAAACACCGCACCCATTGTACTGTAACCCTGGTTGAATCTCTCAATACATTATAAAACTCAAATGTAGCTTATCTAGGTTTTTTTAATTTGCCCAAATTATTCAAAAGTGTGATTTCTCTTTATTTTACCCTTTACATTTTGTTTGCACTTTTGACCCTCTTAGACCAGGAACCTACAAGTCACAGTTGTACTACACGCGGACCCATGAGACAAGCTGAACAAGAACACCTTGACTTTTCGAGACCCGGTTGTGTCACTAGCCAGTGTACTACTATCCAATAATGTTAGGCCACTGGCGTAATTCAGTAACTATTATTATCGTTGAATGACAAACAGATGCATACCATCATTTTATAAAGCTTACACTTGAAAAGCAAGAAGTGGCCTAGAGAGTTCATGTCTTACTCTTTAATGTAACTAAATGGACGGAAGTGAATAGGCGCGTAGGATAAATAAAAGCGACAAAACCCTTTTCATATTCATAAGAAATTTCTGCCAAAAAGCAGAGTAGATTCTTTGATTACGACTCTGTCATAAGCATGTGTTTATGAATCATTATCACATAGTGATGATACCAGGTGTTCGCGAAAAGGACAGCATATCCTGCCCTTGATAATGAGTGAGTGAGTGAGTTGGGTTTAACGCCGCTTTTAACAGCATTCCAGTTATATCGCGGCGTGTCAGCTTAATGTGGGAGGAAAGCCCGAAGTGATGCAGACGTTTACCACTTCGGTGAAATCCACGAGCACGGGTATGGTGCTGACAAACCTAGAAACATAATCGGGGCGAACCGGGATTCGAAACCACAATCATAGGTTTCTGGCGTGCCCAAGTGACGCAACTCTGCACAGCAAATCGCGGCGCCTTAGACGACTGGGCCAACTGTGCCTCCTGCCCTTGATAAAGTGTGGAATGAAAATAATGCAGGTGTTCATAGCAGACACTTATACAAAGCATACAGCACGTTTTCAGTCAGTTACACTGACCCATGGTAGATTTCCTTGAAGTTTTAAATATTGGTAATGAGTGGTTTCATTATCGGGCTCATGCTGTAAGTGAGTGAGTGAGTGAGTATGGTTTTACGCCGCTTTTAGCAATATTTCAGCAATATCACGGCGGGGGACAGCAGAAATGGGTTTCACACATTGTACCCATGTCGAGAATCGAAATTGGGTCTTCGGCGTGACGAGCGAACGCTTTAACCATTAGGCTACCCGACCGCCCCTTCATGCTGTAAGAGGCGATGAGTGAAGTCGCATCGCGATCCAGTAACGATATGATTCCGACCACTGCCCCAGTATAATTATAAGTACGCGGGATTCCTCGAAATGTTACACGTCTGGGACCTGACTAGTTTGTTTTCCCTAAAAGTGACATTAAAATGAAACCTGCTTACTCACTCGTATTAATTTATTGTCCGTCGTGAACGGATCAGCACAAAGTCTTGAAAGAAAATAACGTATGCGAGTTTTCGATGGTGCTGGTCCGTTGTCAGATCATCTTGGTATATGTACCGTGACATCTGGTTAACTCGAAGTCCCGGGGAACATCCGGTATAAGCGTGTTCGTTATATATGATAAAATATACAGATATGACCGGGCCAAACAAAAACAGTTTGTTATTATCCGACAATTCGTTATAAGCTTGTTCGTTATGAACCTTGTTTACTGTTTGTCTAGGTTTCCAAAGTTGGTCGAGTATAATGTGTTACGTGTCGATTTCCCAATAAACAATATGTTAACCCAGAAATCTGTACGAAAAAGGAACCTAGAGTGAAATTAACAAACAACCAACAAGGGTATACAATCAACAAATGTATTACAAAATTAACTAAGTTAAATTTTGCAAATCAATACAAAATACCACGAAAGAGTGGTTGTAGAAAGCAAAAAAACTACATATCACAATAAATAATATGAAGGCAGCTGTCAGTATCAAATGCAAAAATACAGTGGTGATAGCAAAAGTCAGTGATATTAATATGTATTTACACAGCAGCTACACTTGTCAAGCGAGGTAGGGAATAAGGGAAGGTGAGCGATCCTCACATGAAAACTAGTACGACAGCGATTATGTCTTTTGGAATGCCATCATAGTGGATTTCGAAAAGATTTATGACTGACCATATTTCCCAGATGAATTTACTTTTTGTTTGTTTGATCTGGTTGGTTCGAGATTGCAACCAGAAATCTCTTAACTTCCCCGTTATTTTATTACTACTACACTAATTACATGCTAGTTGAAATGAAATAGAAATTCAAATTGACAAACAAAGGAAATAATTTAGCATGGGTAAGAGTATTCGGAATCACGGCAGTCATCACTTGTTTGTAAACATAACGGTCAGCAGGTTGCGAGTTCAACTCCAAGCATGGTTGTAGCCACTTATCACAGTGGGGAGCTTTCACAGGTGGCAGCGGTAGTACAGAGAGCTCCGCGAACGGGATATCGCAGTGAGGAGCTTGCACACGAGCATCTGAATATAGTAACTTTCGACTGATCACCGTCCAAACACAATGCAATGAACGTCTACCGACTCCAATCAGAAACAATGCAACACAACTACAATCACTGTTAAACTATAAAATACACTGCCACATAACAAATGTAACACCACTAGACCAGGGACCCGTTCCACAAAGCGATCTTAGTGCTACGACTGCCGTACGTCAGTGTTAAAGAATGGGAGTTACGACCGACTAAGCGCTGAGATAACTTTGTGGAACGGGGCCCAGGTCCAAATGAGGAGACTGTCGGACTACAGCCTGACATCTATTAATTCGACATACTGGAGTCGAGTTCGAGATAACGAGGTTCACAATCATATAGACGTTCATAATAAAATGTATCGGCGCCATAGTAAATTATACAACGTTGATGAATTATCCAGGTGATTTTAAGGATGCACATACTGTGTTTTCAATATTGGTATTGGTGCTACATATTGGTAACCTGTAGGTTTAACCGCGCTATTTTAACATTTGAAACCTAACTCTGCACGTTCAGTTCCAAATTCAATACAGCACGGTTAAATCTACAGTCAACCTACAGTAGCCCTACATTGACACACAATGTGTTTATCGCCATTCTATCATGATTAAATATGACGCGAACGCGTTGGTACTAGCGAAGAGACATTGAGCTTTGGTTCTGTCCAACGTCTTGGAAGTGTTGTCGACTTGAATTGTCCTGTTGTGAACTGAATACACTGATACTACTGTGGAAACCAATTTTGGTGCTAGTGTGTATTTGTACTTCATAATACTGTGCGGGGGCACGGGTGGTCCAGTCGTCTAAGGCGCCGCGATTCGCTGTGCAGAGTTTCGTCCCTCTGGCACGCCAGAAACCTATCTTTGGGGGTTCGAATCCCGGTTCGCCCCGATTATGTTTCTAGGTTTGTCAGCACCATACCCGTGCTCGTGGGTTTCACCGAAGTGGTAAACGTCTGAAACATGCATCACTTCAGGCTTTCCACCCACATTAAGCTGACACGCCGTGATATAACTGGAATACTGTTAAAAGCGGCGTTAAACCCAACTCACTCACTCACTCATAATACTGTGCTCACATATGAACAGGCATTGAACGTGTGTAGCACAGCAACCTCGTACTCCAACAGGCGTTGAGTGTGCGAACCTCAAGAGAAAAGAGAAAATCTTGCAAGTTTAGTTCTACACATACACCGCACGCCACTATTGCGACGTCATGACGCTCAGTGTAACGTGAGTAACACTCTCTCAGTCGATTTCTGTCGTGTTAACTGCCCAACTGTATTGCGACACATACCGTTACTATTGTAGTCAGTGTACATTGTTATTTATATGTCTACCAACAATGACCAGAAACAAGCACTTTTCTACAAAGGATACGGCCGTCGAATCGGCTGTTGCAATCAGAGGTGGATATTGTCTACCAATACTTCTGAATCAGAATTGACTAATTTCCAAATTCATGGTACATTACTGCTTTCACAAAGAGTTAATCTCAATGGAATCACTAAAACACACGCAATATGTTTATTACCAGGGAACATCGCTCTGAACAAACCAACACAACAAAGCAGCACTATCAGTGACTGTTGGTCGGCGAGAACAGCTGCCAAGAGAAAAGTGTGTGAGTACAAGACTTCCTCCCTGGCTGTGGACGGTGTGACCAGCAGCAGGTACTGGTCAGGGACCTGCACACATACCGCGACAGGCCGGCCATCCGCCTGGTGGACAGTGGACCTGGGAGAGACACACCTCATCACCAATCTCACAATATTCTTCTCAAATAGACGCAAGTACACTTGACACATTCTACAGTAATGAATCACGACTGACCCCTCTAATAATGTTCCATAAAAAAGCCAAGAGAAATAATATGCAACCAGATCAAAACTGAAATACTCTGTTTACACTATCATGAAAAACTGGTCACTGTAGTTGGGGACATATGATTAGAATATTACCAGTTACTAATTTTCTCGACAATTATTGACAGTGTGCAGTTTCCGTTTAATATATTTTCCAAACGTTTAATCTTGGAGTGTGCTGATCGCAATGAAGGTGATCATCGCATTGTCACAGGACTAGTCGTACTACCAAACAAACACATCAAAGTTACACTTGTATGATCCCTTGATGTTATTGACGTTAAAAACACGTACTTCCCATGAAACATGCACAGGGTTAACCAGACAGTTAGTTTTCGATTCAGTCGACATCGATTACCACGTTATACCCTCTTGTTGACGCCTTCATATATATTGGATTTGTTTTGTCTCCAGAACGAATGAGAGGTTTCTTTGTACGTGTAGACAGTCATCTCTGCCATCAGAGCCAGTACTACCCTCCCAGCTCCCCTGTCAGCATCAGCTGTGACACCCCTACATCTGGACAACGTGTCACTGTTCAGCTGCCAACACTGACCGACTCGAAATACATTCTCAATCTGTGTGAAGTGGAAATATATGGTAATGAACGCATATTACGGATTTCTTAAATCGACATACAAATAGTTCAAATAGGATGTTTTGTGTGATGAGCCATGTCTGGGGAACTTGAAGTTTACTTATGTGGCAATCATAGCAATTTTATAATATTTTAATGTGTTTTCTATTCATTTACATTAAAATACTAATCAAAAGTTGTTTCTTCTTATCAGAGTGTGCTGACTGGAGTTTCGGACCTGGCTGTAGTTCCTGGTGTTACTGTAAGAACACATCCGAGGTGTGTGACAAAGCCACTGGACACTGTGAGAGTGGCTGTGTTGACGGGAGTTTCGGGCCTGGCTGTAATTACTGGTGTTACTGTAGGAACACATCCGAGGTGTGTGACAAAGCCACTGGACACTGTGAGAGTGGGTGCGCTGATGGATATACTGGGACTGGCTGTCAGGAAAGTAAGTGCATGTTGCTTCATCTTTCAACCCATGACGGATTTATTTTGTTAAGAAGTGTGTAAAATTAAAAGTGATGGGTCAGGGATGGAATTGAAATATCTTTTTTTGTGTTATACAACCCATGCTTCAAAACATTTAATTGTGATGCCAAGGTCCTACAATGTCGTTACAGCTTGTTCCCTGGGACGCTATGGCCAGGGATGCATGGAGACGTGTGGACATTGTGATGGAGGGGATCAGAACTGTAACGAGGTAGATGGGACTTGTACACGTGGCTGTCAGGACAAGTGGAGTGGAACATTGTGTAAAGGTTTGTATCAAGACTTTAACCGACACCTTGGTGTCTTAGAATTGCTTGTGCTGAGCCTAGTACCAGGCCAGGCAGACATGAGGAATTGCCTTACATTACACGATCTAGTCATACAATTACTTCAGAAATACACTTCATGGTGGTTTACTGGAGTGGGTTAGTTAACCTCGTGTAAACGCCGAAGCTTGTGGTTATGAAGTTTAAGGGATGCCAATTTTACCATGGCGCACATTTTAGGCGATTTACTTCTCCAGTAACATTGGAATACAGTGACCCAAAACCATTTCATTGTGATGCCAAGGTCCTACAATGTCGTTACAGCTTGTTCCCCGGGACGCTATGGCCAGGGATGCATGGAGACGTGTGGACATTGTGGTGGAGGGGATCAGAACTGTAACGAGGTAGATGGGCGCTGTACCCGTGGCTGTCAGGACAAGTGGAATGGAACATTGTGTAAAGGTTTGTATTAAGACTTTGATCCGACACCTTGGTGTCTTGGAATTGCTTGTGCTGAGCAGAGTACCAGGCCAGTCAGACATGAGGAATTGCCTTACATTACACGATCTAGTCATACAATTACTTCAGAAATAAATTTCATGTCGGTTTACTGGAGTGGGTTAGTTTGCATTGTGTAAACGCCGAAGCTTGTGGTTATGGAGTTTAATGGATGCCAATTTCACCGTGGGGCACATTTTAGCCGATTTACGTCTCCAGTAACACTGGAATGCAGTGACTCCAAAACGCATTGTTAAACAACGAGAGTTATTTTTTATATATTTAGAATCAGAAATAACTGTAACTCAACATAAAACACATGTCTATTGATGGTCGAGTTAGGATTTTGATTTTTCATATTGAATGGGAAATAACAGATATTTAGTTTTCCTCGTGATGTTGTCCGATTATTTCAAATTCTCATGATCCTGATCATGGTAAGCAAGGGACACCGTTTGGAAATGTTGCAATGGGGACTTCCCGTGAAAACTAGTTCCTGTCCAAAATCGTGTAAACGTAAAAAGGTGAAGTTTATGCTTTGTAAGCGTCGTGGTTTTTTAAAATTTGTTGTGACAGCACATAAACAGCTGAAAGGGAGGTACAATGTAGATGTCGTTTCCGGAGCACAACTTAAAATCTATTCAACATTTTGTATCTACACTTTGTACATGTATTAATAGAAGGTGCCTTTTGCTATTTAGAAATTTACAAACTCTTAATTTTTCCTGTTTCCATGGCAACAAGTTTGACTTTGAGTCTGTTCATAGTGGCGTGTACCTGACATAGAAATACAAATTTCCGAATCCCAATTCCATGGTATTGTTTTAATAGCTCAAGAACTACTCTTGTATACGGACAGACAGATTAGATAGAAATTCTCTCATCAAGTAGGACTTAAAGTAACAGTCAGATGATTTGTTCTTTCGATTTTGTGGGGGACAGGGGAGTTTGTCATCTTCTGATGACTCTTGTTTACAATGGTTGGGTGATTCCGCTTGTAGGCATCGCATCATGGGATGCAGGACAACACACACTGTTGCTCAGATATATGAGGACTGCTCTGATTTCAGTATAACCACTTTTGGTGACTTCGGCAGCAACTTTACTGTATGATATGTAATGACACTGACAAGGATGAATAGTGGAATAATTATTGTCTGACAACAAACGAACCCATAACACTTTTTATTTTGTTTAGTTGAAAATACTTAGAATAAACCTTTTACAAGGAATCTCATACTCTTGTTTATTTTGTTGACTGTTCTATGTTGTCTTTACAAGAGCTCCGTCCTCTCATGGATTGTTGACTGTTATGTGTTGTTTGTACAAGACCTCCCGTGGATGATTGACTGTTGTTGTTCCAGAGTGCAGTGACTACTGGTTTGGTGGCCGATGTGACAGAGAGTGTAAATGTAAGGAAACGTATGAAGTGTGTGACAAGAAGACAGGTCAGTGTGACTCTGGGTGTGAAGATGGACGGACAGGACTGGACTGTCAAACACGTGAGTAGTGCAGTCGGGGTGATCACCTCCAGATGTCAAACCCATTTATCATATGTTTATGATGTGTACGTACAATGTAGAGTTGCAGTCACAACAATCTTCAAAGCAGGTGTGACAATACGGGATGGGCAAAAAGCATGATGGATATTGACTAAGAGAGCATGTTTCAGATGTTGAGAAAACTGAGAGCATTGCTCTTTTCGATATCCGACTATGACGTCATATCTATAAGGTCACAGTGAGCTATGTGACGTCATAATATTGGTATGAAATAAATCCTGCGTCATGTCGTTATTCCAATCGCTGTTGTCATCGGCAGAAATTTTGAACTGAAAGATGACAATGCCAGATCACATTGTGCGCAGGTCGTCACTGATTATCTCCGACGAGAAGGCATACGGACATTGGACAGGCTCGCTATGTCCTCTGACATGTCCCCAAAAGAGCATCTGTTGGGTGTTCTTGGTCAGAGACTGTACGCCATAAAAAAATCATCGGTGTTTCCTTAATTCAAATTGACAACCATCAACCTACAGGCAACATAGCTCTATATTGAAAACGCAGTATGTTTATCTACTAATTAACAAGCGTGTGATATATCTATTGTACATCATATGAGTAGCTGTGAAGATAATGATATCATCATAAAACATAATAGATTTGTTACATTATCATAATGAACTCTCAACAGTTGTTGTGATCTCAGAATCTGAAAGAAAGATTGGGTTCCTGACACACCTACAGGTTCAATCCCAAAATAAGACAAAGATTTAGTCCCAGAAATGAAGTTATCATCTTTAAAATAGTTTATATATACAAAATAAAAAATAATAATATCCAAATGGAGACCACCACAATGATTAATTTCAGGAGCTGAGGCCATCTAGACTTGCCCAATCATTCTAGTTGGTTGGTTGGTTTGTTGTTTAACGCCGCACTCAGCAATATTGCAGCTATATGACGGCGGTCTGTAAATAATCGAGTCTGCACCAGACAATCCAGTGATTAATATCATGAGCATCGATCCACGCAATTGGGATCGATGACATGCATCAACCAAGTCAGCGAGCCTGACCACCCGATCCCGTTAGTCGCCTTTTACGACAAGCATAGTCACCCTTTACGGCAAGCATGGGTCGCTGAAGACCTTTTCTACCCCGGAATCTTCACGGGTCCCAATCATTCTAGACTTGAGTTGTACAAAATATGCAATGCAAGCGATTTCGTTGACCAAACAAGCACAGTGATTCATAGTGGGTTCACGCGTAAGAGTAACATATGCATCATTTAACGGTGTCGGATATTTGAACATATTACATGGGAGAGAAATGGCAAGATGATGTTAACCGTCTCTCATGCTATGGGGTTTTCCCAAACATTTCCTAAACAGGGAGTCCGTGCCACAGTGGACACAAAGTCGTCCAGGAGTGAACAATCATCAGCACATGTACACGTGTTGCTTAACGTAGGGCATGTAGCAACATACTGCAGTCAAACTAACAACAGCTGTACATACCCAGCTGTACTTCCTCTGCGATGTTTGGCCCACAGTGACGCCATTACACACCCCAAATCCTTTTATTGCTACACGGACTTATGGATAATCACACACTGAACCGATATTACAATGAGACTTATTTACCACAAACTGCTTATTTTCGTGTAAAGTTTATTTTTAAGACGTATTTCGTTCCTTAAGTTAAGGGAAAGGGCAGTTAGGTGGACCGGCCTGTCAGCCTGTTCGAGAATTTTCAATTGATGGTCACGCTTTTGACGGATTTGATTTCAAACCTATCCCAATTAAACTCAAGGTTAGTCTCAAATTCGGCATTATAAAAGTAATAAAGTTTGCTTCACCCACATGTGTAGTGTAATAAAGTATAGTTTTGCCCTGAACTATTACAACGTCAACGCACTAGGAGGCAGGTGTTTTCGTGCTTTAACCATAGGGTTCACTTCACAGCATGTCAGAACGGGACCTACGGCTTCAACTGTACATCCAGGTGTGGGAGATGTCAGGGAGGAGTGCCATGTGCGAAGTTAGGAGGAGAGTGTGCCAAGTGTGATCCAGGATTCATGACCCCGCTCTGTAAACGTAAGGAGACATTAACAAAGTGCTGCAATACTTAAGGACATCATGACAAAGGTTTACTTTTAATCCAAGTTACATGCTAGAAAGGTTACAAATCTACATGATCTCTTTAGTGTTTCAACTTACATGTATATTATTCGCGTGTGTAAGATTGTCTCAGACTCGTCTCCGAAACAGAACGAAATGTTTTGGGGATAAATACTCACGAGATGTTGAATAAGATCACAGCGTCCATTTACACATTCAGAGCTCTAGTTATATTTCTACTAAAGATTATGATCATCATGTGAAGGAGAGTGACTGACAAACTTTTACAACGAAGAATTTGAAAAGAGTTCAATAATTAGGCGGAACTTTTTTTATTTTAGGTTACCACGACCACGGCAAAATGTGTCGCTTGGAAACACAAAATTTCAAAAGATATATTTTTATTAATACCCGACAATCAATGTGTCTATAAAAATACAAACATAATCAACTAGTATATATTTACAAAACCAAATAAACAGGAAATATTGTAATCAAATAAATAGACATAAAACAGGAAATCAATCTGTGACACTCACGTGACAATTAGTCAAATAGATTCGAGAATTTTTCCACAAAAAAAGGTAGTTGATTTAGTTTAAGTTTCCTAACGACCGAAACTAAAATATATGAGAGTAATAGCACATAAAGTCTCGTCATAAAAAAGACTATTGAACGTACCATGTCCACAATGTAATCTATCTACCATGCAGATTGTACGGACCGTTTCTATGGGTATCAGTGCAAAAAGTGAAGTTTACACTTTGAAAGCGTCATTTTTTAAAGTTTGTTGAGAAATGAACGGATCATGTGACATCATATGGAGTCCTTTAAACTTCAAAATAAATATTTATATATCTTTATTTTCCGTTTCATTTTTGAAATTACTCCACAATCAAACACAGATTATATATGTGATGCCAATACACATATTTCCGTTTTGATCATTTACGTTTTGTTTTCCCCGACATATAATGCGCGGGGGGGGGGGGGGGGGGGGGGAGGGGGTATAGTCGACGCCTGAAAGATGTCGTTTCCAGAGCACAACTTCAAAGCTGTGAAAGACTTTTCATCAAAACCTGTTCCTTAGCAGAAACGGAAGTAGGAGTCGTTTCCAGAGCACAACTAAACAACTATTCAACATTTTCCATCCAAACTTGGTACATGTATAAATCAAAGGTTGAAGTGGTGCTTTTTCCTATTAAGATATTAACAAACTATTAATTTTTCCTGTTTCCATGGCAACAAGTTGATAGAAATTCTCTCTTCATATTCGACTTAAAAAGTAACAGAGGCTTTTTCATCTTTCGAATTTGTGGGGGACAGGGGAATTTGTCATCTTCTGATGACTCTTGTTTACAATGGTTGGGTGACTCCGCTTGTAGGCATCGCATCATGGGATGCAGGACGGCCCACAATGTTGCCCAAAGATATGAGGACTGCTCTGATTTCAGTTTAACCACTTTTGGTGACTTACAACAGCAACTTTACTGTATGATATGTAATGACACTGACACGGATGAATAGTGGAATAATTATTGTCTGACAACAAACGAACCCATAACACTTTTTATTTTGTTTAGTTGAAAATACTTAGAATAAACCTTTAAAAGGAATCTCATACTCTTGTTTATTTTGTTGACTGTTATATATTGTCTTTACAAGAGCTCCGTCCTCTCATGGATTGTTGACTGTTATGTGTTGTCTGTACAAGACTTCTCGTGGATGGTTGACTGTTGTTGTTACAGAGTGCAGTAACTTCTGGTTTGGTGTCCGATGTGACAGGAAGTGTAAATGTAAGGATCCTGATGAAGTTTGTGTCAAGAAGACAGGTCAGTGTGTCTCTGGGTGTGAAGATGGACGGACAGGACTGGACTGTCAAACACGTGAGTAGTGCAGTCGGAGTGATCACCTCCAGATGTCAAACCCATATAGCATATGGTTATAATGTGTACGTACAATGTAGAGTTGCAGTCACAACAATCTTCAAAGCATGTGTGACAACGGAATGCGCAGAAAACATGATGGATATTGACTAAGAAAGCATATTTCAGATGTTGAGGACACAAAGAGGATTAATGTTGACTATATCTGACTATGACCTCATATATATTGGGGGTCACAATGAGGGTGTGACGTCATAATATTGGTATGCGTCCTGTCGTTCCATTCGCTGGAATTATCTGCAGAAATTTTAAACTGAATGATGACCATGCCTAATCACATCCTGCGAAGGTCGTCACTGATTATCTCCGACGAGAAGGCATACGGACATTGGACTGGCTCGCTAAGTCCCCTGACATGTCCCCAATAGAGCATCTGTGGGATGTAAAGACTGTGACATGTTCTAACCGACAGCATGTCCCAGCGGACGCCATGGGTTCCAGTGTGAAGGTGTGTGTGTTTGTGTGGCCAGTGTAAGGGAGGTAACCATTGTCTCATGTTCTACCCCACAGGATGTTCCAGAGGACGCTATGGGTTCCGGTGTGGAAGTGTGTGTGTTTGTGTGGCCAGTGTAAGGGAGGTAACCATTGTCTCATGTTCTACCCCACAGGATGTCCCAGCGGACGCTATGGGTTCCAGTGTGGAGGTGTGTGTGTCCAGTGTAAGGGAGGTAACCATTGTCTCATGTTCTACCCCACAGGATGTCCCAGAGGACGCTATGGCTTCCAGTGTGGAGGTGTGTGTGTCCAGTGTAAGGGAGGTAATCACTGTGTCATGTTCTACCCCACAGGATGTCCCAGCGGACGCTATGGGTTCCAGTGTGGAGGTGTGTGTGTCCAGTGTAAGGGAGGTAACCATTGTCTCATGTTCTACCCCACAGGATGTTCCAGAGGACGCTATGGCTTCCAGTGTGGAGGTGTGTGTGGCCAGTGTAAGGGAGGTAACCCCAGATGCCGTAGAACTGACGGGAGATGTAAGACCGGTTGTAAAGAGAAGTGGCAGGGAGATCGGTGTGACGGTAAAATACAAATATATACCCATCTAGATCTGATCTTCCGTTTTTCTACTGTACTCTGAAGATCACGAAGGAGCAGGTACAGTTCTCCCAACTCTTAGGACATGTCTGAATTTTATTTGGTATGGAATAAAATCTGAAAACCTTATTGTTATCATCCTGCACTGTACGAATATTTAATTGAAGTGTAGTGTTCGTTGAACTCAGGAACAATCCTCATGACAAACTGGTTATACTGTACTGGGGAACAGACATACATTCGCTAGATTCATAACTGACAGCCCAGGTTGTTCCTGTGGTCACCCGCTACACTTCTTCTTTGTTTGCAATTCATTACATTACATAAAAAGGATATGATCTGAATACAGTACCTTGCAGATGTGACGGCCTATCAACTGATGCAAATCAAGAGATACTTTCATCACAAATTCTGGCAGATTTAAACTTACAAAATACACCAAACCCTCACATATAATATATATGTATCTTCTGTATAGTATGTAGTACTTAATATTACGTATAACCCCATCATTCTTACTATCAAAACCGGACACTTCTGATCATACTTGATAACTAAACATCAAGGTATTTTTGTGTAAATATTATGTATGTATACACCTTGACTATGTTTGTTACCTGATTTCTATGTATGGAGAGGTATTCAAATAAGCGCTGTTTTGTTTGTCGATCCCAATTTTCATTTGAAATAAAAATATGATTAAACCAAACAGGAAGAGCATATAAACCTAAGTTACCGTTGTGTTAAGATGCAGTCGTTAGAGAAACGTCTTGTTGTGTTCTCGAGAACATACTGTGTCAGGTGTAATTGCTCTCCTTTATACTGAAGACGTCCCCTTCTTTGTTTCCATCAGTACATAATCCTCAGACTAGACTGTGACACCAGGCTTCCAATAATCAACTGAGGTTCAAAGTCTGTGTATTTTTCATCTTTAGGAACACTTACGCTTGTCGAATGTCAAATATTTATGTTAAACTTGTATTGATCTATTTTGTAAGAAAGCTAAAATTTAACAATACACTTCGTTTTTCTAGAGTGCAGAGATGGTCACTTCGGAGTCAACTGTACCCAGTCCTGTCGCTGCCTGAATGTGACGGAGATCTGTGACAAGACCACGGGGGAGTGCAGGAGCGGCTGTGAGGCAGGCAGAACAGGGAGGGGCTGTCAGCGATGTGAGTTTACATAACGGCACTACATGTTGTGATACCCTGTAGTCAGGTAGGCAGAACAGGGAAGGGATGTCAGCAATGTGAGTTTACATAACGGCACTACATGTTGTGATATCCTGTAGTCAGGCAGGCAGAACAGGGAGGGGCTGTCAGCAATGTGAGTTTACATAACGGCACTACATGTTGTGATACCCTGTAGTCAGGCAGGCAGAACAGGGAGGGACTGTCAGCAATGTGAGTTTACATAACGCCACTATATGTTGTGATATCCTGTAGTCAGGCAGGCAGAACAGGGAGGGGATGTCAGCAATGTGAGTTTACATAACGGCACTACATGCTGTGATACCCTGTAGTCAAGCAGGCCGAATACGGATGGACTGTCAGCAATGTGAGTTTACATAACGGCACTACATGTTGTGATACCCTGTAGTCAGGCAGAACAGGGAGTGACAGTCAGCAATGTGAGTTTACATAACGGGACTACATGTTGTGATACCCAGTAGTCAGGCAGGCAGAACAGGGAGGGGATGTCAGCAATGTGTGTTTACATAACGGCACTACATGTTGTGATATCCTGTAGTCAGGCAGAACAGGGAGTGACAGTCAGCAATGTGAGTTTACATAACGGCACTACATGCTGTGATACTCTGTAGTCAGGCAGGCAGAACAGGGAGGGGCTGTCAGCAATGTGAGTTTACATAACGCCACTACATGTTGTGATATCCTGTAGTCAGGCAGGCAGAACAGGGAGGGGCTGTCAACAATGTGAGTTTACATAACGGCACTACATGTTGTGATATCCTGTAGTCAGGCAGGCAGAACAGGGAGGGGATGTCAGCAATGTGAGTTTACATAACGCCACTACATGTTGTGATACCCTGTAGTCAGGCAGGCAGATCAGGGAGGGACTGTCAGCAATGTGAGTTTACATAACGGCACTACATGTTGTGATACCCTGTAGTCAGGCAGGCAGAAAAGGGAAGGGATGTCAGCAATGTGAGTTTACATAACGGCACTACATGTTGTGATATCCTGTAGTCAGGCAGGCAGAACAGGGAGGGGCTGTCAGCAATGTGAGTTTACATAACGGCACTACATGTTGTGATACCCTGTAGTCAGGCAGGCAGAACAGGGAGGGACTGTCAGCAATGTGAGTTTACATAACGCCACTATATGTTGTGATATCCTGTAGTCAGGCAGGCAGAACAGGGAGGGGATGTCAGCAATGTGAGTTTACATAACGGCACTACATGCTGTGATACCCTGTAGTCAAGCAGGCCGAATACGGAGGGACTGTCAGCAATGTGAGTTTACATAACGGCACTACATGTTGTGATACCCTGTAGTCAGGCAGAACAGGGAGTGACAGTCAGCAATGTGAGTTTACATAACGGGACTACATGTTGTGATACCCAGTAGTCAGGCAGGCAGAACAGGGAGGGGATGTCAGCAATGTGTGTTTACATAACGGCACTACATGTTGTGATATCCTGTAGTCAGGCAGAACAGGGAGTGACAGTCAGCAATGTGAGTTTACATAACGGCACTACATGCTGTGATACTCTGTAGTCAGGCAGGCAGAACAGGGAGGGGCTGTCAGCAATGTGAGTTTACATAACGCCACTACATGTTGTGATATCCTGTAGTCAGGCAGGCAGAACAGGGAGGGGCTGTCAACAATGTGAGTTTACATAACGGCACTACATGTTGTGATATCCTGTAGTCAGGCAGGCAGAACAGGGAGGGGATGTCAGCAATGTGAGTTTACATAACGCCACTACATGTTGTGATACCCTGTAGTCAGGCAGGCAGATCAGGGAGGGACTGTCAGCAATGTGAGTTTACATAACGGCACTGCATGTTGTGATATCCTGTAGTCAGGCAGGCAGAACAGGGAGGGGCTGTCAGCAATGTGAGTTTACAAAACGGCACTACATATTGTGATATCCTGTAGTCAGGCAGGCAGAACAGGGAGGGGATGTCAGCAATGTGAGTTTACATAACGGCACTACATGTTGTGATACCCTGTAGTCAGGCAGAACAGGGAGTGACAGTCAGCAATGTGAGTTTACATAAAGGCAATACATGTTGTGATACCCAGTAGTCAGGCAGGCAGAACAGGGAGGGGTTGTCAGCAATGTGAGTTTACATAAAGGCAATACATGTTGTGATACCCAGTAGTCAGGCAGGCAGAACAGGGAGGGGTTGTCAGCAATATGAGTTTACATAACGGCACTACATGTTGTGATATCCTGTAGTCAGGCAGGCAGAACAGGGAGGGGCTGTCAGCAATGTGAGTTTACATAACGGCACTACATATTGTGATACCCTGTAGTCAGGCAGGCACAACAGGGAGGGGCTGTCAGCAATGTGAGTTTACATAACGGCACTACTTATTGTGATATCCTGTACTCAGGCAGGCAGAACAGGGAGGGGCTGTCAGCAATGTGAGTTTACATAACGGCACTACTTATTGTGATATCCTGTACTCAGGCAGGCAGAACAGGGAGGGGCTGTCAGCAATGTGAGTTTACATAACGGCACTACATGTTGTGATATCCTGTAGTCAGGCAGGCAGAACAGGGAGGGGCTGTCACCAATGTGAGTTTACATAACGGCACTACATATTGTGATATCCTGTAGTCAGGCAGGCAGAACAGGGAGGGGATGTCAGCAATGTGAGTTTACATAACGGCACTACATATTGTGATATCCTGTACTCAGGCAGGAGGAACAAGGAGGGGATGTCAAGCAATGTGAGTTTACATAACGGCACTACATGTTGTGATATCCTGTACTCAGGCAGGCAGAACAGGGAGGGGATGTCAAGCAATGTGAGTTTACATAACGGCACTACATATTGTGATATCCTGTACTCAGGCAGGAGGAACAGGGAGGGGATGTCAGCAATGTGAGTTTACATAACGGCACTACATGTTGTGATACCCTGTAGTCAGGCAGGCAGAACAGGGAGGGGCTGTCAGCAATGTGAGTTTACATAACGGCACTACATGTTGTGATACCCTGTAGCCAGGCAGGCACAACAGGGAGGGGCTGTCAGCAATGTGAGTTTACATAACGGCACTACATGTTGTGATACCCTGTAGTCAGGCAGGCAGAAAAGGGAGGGACTGTCAGCAATGTGAGTTTACATAACGGCACTACATGCTGTGATACCCTGTAGCCAGGCAGGCACAACAGGGAGGGGATGTCAGCAATGTGAGTTTACATAACGGCACTACATGTTGTGATACCCTGTAGTCAGGCAGGCAGAACAGGGAGGGGCTGTCAGCAATGTGAGTTTACATAACGCCACTACATGTTGTGATATCCTGTAGTCAGGCAGGCAGAACAGGGAGGGGCTGTCAACAATGTGAGTTTACATAACGGCACTACATGTTGTGATATCCTGTAGTCAGGCAGGCAGAACAGGGAGGGGATGTCAGCAATGTGAGTTTACATAACGGCACTGCATGTTGTGATATCCTGTAGTCAGGCAGGCAGAACAGGGAGGGGCTGTCAGCAATGTGAGTTTACAAAACGGCACTACATATTGTGATATCCTGTAGTCAGGCAGGCAGAACAGGGAGGGGATGTCAGCAATGTGAGTTTACATAACGGCACTACATGCTGTGATAACCTGTAGTCAGGCAGGCCTAACACGGAGGGACTGTCAGCAATGTGAGTTTACATAACGGCACTACATGTTGTGATACCCTGTAGTCAGGCAGAACAGGGAGTGACAGTCAGCAATGTGAGTTTACATAAAGGCAATACATGTTGTGATACCCAGTAGTCAGGCAGGCAGAACAGGGAGGGGATGTCAGCAATGTGAGTTTACATAACGCCACTACATGTTGTGATATCCTGTTCTCAGGCAGGCAGAACAGGGAGGGGTTGTCAGCAATGTGAGTTTACATAACGGCACTACATGTTGTGATATCCTGTAGTCAGGCAGGCAGAACAGGGAGGGGCTGTCAGCAATGTGAGTTTACATAACGGCACTACATATTGTGATACCCTGTAGTCAGGCAGGCACAACAGGGAGGGGCTGTCAGCAATGTGAGTTTACATAACGGCACTACTTATTGTGATATCCTGTACTCAGGCAGGCAGAACAGGGAGGGGCTGTCAGCAATGTGAGTTTACATAACGGCACTACTTATTGTGATATCCTGTACTCAGGCAGGCAGAACAGGGAGGGGCTGTCAGCAATGTGAGTTTACATAACGGCACTGCATGTTGTGATATCCTGTAGTCAGGCAGGCAGAACAGGGAGGGGCTGTCAGCAATGTGAGTTTACATAACGGCACTACATGTTGTGATATCCTGTAGTCAGGCAGGCAGAACAGGGAGGGGATGTCAGCAATGTGAGTTTACATAACGGCACTACATATTGTGATATCCTGTACTCAGGCAGGAGGAACAAGGAGGGGATGTCAAGCAATGTGAGTTTACATAACGGCACTACATGTTGTGATATCCTGTACTCAGGCAGGCAGAACAGGGAGGGGATGTCAAGCAATGTGAGTTTACATAACGGCACTACATATTGTGATATCCTGTACTCAGGCAGGAGGAACAGGGAGGGGATGTCAGCAATGTGAGTTTACATAACGGCACTACATGTTGTGATACCCTGTAGTCAGGCAGGCAGAACAGGGAGGGGCTGTCAGCAATGTGAGTTTACATAACGGCACTACATGCTGTGATACCCTGTAGCCAGGCAGGCACAACAGGGAGGGGCTGTCAGCAATGTGAGTTTACATAACGGCACTACATGTTGTGATACCCTGTAGTCAGGCAGGCAGAAAAGGGAGGGACTGTCAGCAATGTGAGTTTACATAACGGCACTACATGCTGTGATACCCTGTAGCCAGGCAGGCACAACAGGGAGGGGCTGTCAGCAATGTGAGTTTACATAACGGCACTACATGTTGTGATACCCTGTAGTCAGGCAGGCAGAAAAGGGAGGGACTGTCAGCAATGTGAGTTTACATAACGGCACTACATGTTGTGATACCCTGTAGTCAGGCAGTCAGAACAGGGAGTGTCGAAATGAAGGAAGCAACCTTGCACCCGAGTCCCCAATATGTTATTTTGCAGTATATTGATTGTGTTTACTTTCTGTACCATAACTTTGAAACAAATCAGAACATATCTCTTAATGTATGTTTTTCCTCTTCTACATTCATCAATCAAAGATCAATGGGGTAACATTTTAGAAAACCCGGTATACTAACACCCGTTTGATAGTGATGGCCCGAATATGTCAGTTATGCCTTCTTCATGTTTTCATCTTGTGGCAGTGTCACAGGTGCTTGGTGTTTTAATTCTGTCGCACTTACAAATGTAATAAGCATGAATCTAGATCTGAATGTTGGTATCAATGAATAAGCCACGTTTGCCATCCCGGTAGATTTTATTCAATGACAAGTAAAGGTCTTTATCATTTCCCTTGCTGTAGGGCGGTGTGAAGGGCGGTGTGGTCAGTGTGCAGGAAGGCATCTTAGATTCACGTCCATTTCGGTGTTCACCATTTCCCTTGCTGTAGGGCGGTGTGGTCAGTGTGCAGGAAGGCATCTTAGATTCACGTCCATTTCGGTGTTTACCATTTCCCTTGCTTTAGTCATATAGATCTGTTTTGTTTCAAGTATGCGAGTCCGGCAGTTACGGCCTGAAGTGTGAGGGGCGGTGTGGTCAGTGTTCAGGTGGTCACAAGAACTGCAGTCCCTACAACGGCTCCTGTCACCTTGGTTGTGAGGGCAACTTGGGAGGAAGTCGTTGTGGAGGTGAGTCAGCTTTTGTCACAAGATGTGTGTACTCTCTGAGTGTCCAGGACAGGACCACACGTCATTGCTGCACATAAGAACAGATGTAACATAGCAAAATATAAGATAATGTGAGTGAGTGGGTGTTTTGGTGGGTAAGTGAATGAGTGAGTGAGGGAGGGAGGGAGGGAGTGAATTCTGTATGACCGGTCCCACAGCTTATGTATGATATATGACTAAAGCTTGCCAACTGAACAATGAAATCATGATTTATAAGCTGACAACAAGGCTTAGAACAATGTCATGATCAAATCCGGAGGCACATGCTGCAGTAAACGTCCACTCATTAATATCCATATAATTTGTGATCATTCTATTCTAAATATAATTATACATATTTCCATTTACACATTCACAACACTAGTTATATTTCTACTAAGGATTATGATCATCATGTGAAGGAGAGTGACTGACAAACTATTGCCACAAAGAATTTGAAAAGAGTTCAATACTTAGGCGGAACCGTTTTTATTTTAGGTTACCACGACCACGGCAAAATTTGCCGCTTGGAAAAACACAATTTCAAAAGATATACTTTTATTAGTACGCGACAATCAATGTGTCTATAAGAATACACACACAATAAACTGGTATACAGATACATAACAAAATAAACAGGAAATATTGTAATCAAATAAATAGACATATAACAGGAAATCCATCTGATCCACTGACGTGACAATTAGTCAAATAGATTCGAGAATTTTTCCACAAAAAAGAGGTAGTTGATTTAGTTTAAGTTTCCTAACGACCGAAACTAAAAGATATGAGCGTAATAGCACATAAAGTCTCGTCATAAAAAAGACTATTGAATTTGAGGAGGTGTGCGTATTGTCGTCTCAACGTACCATATCCACAATGTAAACTGTCTACCACGCAGAGTGTACGGACCGTTTCTATGGGGCTCAGTGCAACTCTAGATGTGGCCAGTGTCGTGGTTACGCCATCTGCAGCAAAACGTCAGGCGACTGCCCGGATGGATGTGAACCAGGATGGCAAGGGATGACATGTCACCAAGGTATCACAGTCGTTTGTGTTTTGCATTGGATCAACTCAGAGACAATACGTCTTGCATCAAACAAACGAAGGTCCAATATTTTGGAAATATCTAATTTACATAATTATGTGTCTGTAACTTTGTGCATTTCTTACATTCCACTATAACCCTTGTGACTGTTTGATTACGCCTGGTGCGGAAGAAGGATAGGCCGGCCTGTAATGGGACGGGCTCAATATGTCAAGGAGGTAAAACTGGCTTTACTGTATCAATACTGATAAACGAACTTTTGTTTGGTAGAAACGTTTTTCATACCTGCTCAAACAAGCAGTCGACTACATGGTGGTGTTTTATTGACAACACTTTTAATGTGTTACAAGGGTGTAACTTTTTCCATAAATGAGTTTCTCAACAGCTTGACTATTGTCGACAGAATGTCACGAAGGCAGATATGGTGACGGGTGTTCTGAGACTTGTGGTCAGTGTGCAGGGAAGTGCAGCCCTGTTACCGGAACATGTGATCAGGAGGGTTGCAGTGTTGGGTGGATGGGGCAGAGATGTGACGAAGGTGAGTGACCTGTAGTCAGGGAGGGTGGACGGGGCAGAAATGTGTCGTAGGTGAGTGACCTGTAGTAATGAGTAGGGTGGACGGGGCAGAGATGTGACGTAGGTATGTGCCCTGTAGTCAGGGAGGGTGGACGGGGCAGACATGTGACGTAGGTATGTGCCCAGTAGTCAGTCAGGGAAGTGGACGGGGCAGAGATGTGACGTAGGTGAGTGACCTGTAGTCAGTCAGGGAGGGTGGACGGGGCAGAGATGTGACGTAGGCATGTGCCCTGTAATCAGTCAGGGAAGTGGACGGGGCAGAGATGTGACGTAGGTGAGTGACCTGTAGTCAGGGAATGTGGACGGGGCAGAGATGTGACGTAGGTGAGTGACCTGTAGTCAGGGAAGGTGGACGGGGCAGAGATGTGACGTGGGTGAGTGACCTGTAGTCAGGGAAGGTGGACGGGGCAGAGATGTGACGTAGGTGAGTGACCTGTAGCCAGGGAGGGTGGATGGGGCAGAGATGTGATGTAGGTGAGTGACCTGTAGTCAGGGAGGGCGGACGGAGCAGAGATGTGATGTAGGTGAGTGACCTGTAGTCAGGGAGGGTGGACGGGGCAGAGAAGTGACGTAGGTAAGTGACCTGTAGTCAGGGAGGTGGGCAGGGCAGAGATGTGACGTAGGTGAGTGACCTGTACTCAGGGAGGTGGACGGGGCAGAGATGTGACGTAGGTAAGTGACCTGTAGTCAGGGAGGTAGACAGGGCAGAGATGTGACGTAGGTGAGTGTCCTGTAGTCAGGGAGGTAGACAGGGCAGAGATGTGACGTAGGTAAGTGACCTGTAGTCAGGGAGGGTAGACAGGACAGAGATGTGACGTAGGTGAGTGACCTGTAGCCAGGGAGGTGAACAGGGCAGAGATGTGAAGTAGGTGAGTGACCTGTAGCCAGGGAGGGTGGACGGGGCAGAGATGTGACGTAGGTGAGTGTCCTGTAGTCAGGGAGGTGGACGGGGCAGAGATGTGACGTAGGTGAGTGACCTGTAGTCAGGGAAGGTGGACGGGGCAGAGATGTGACGTAGGTGAGTGACCTGTAGTCAGGGAAGGTGGACGGGGCAGAGATGTGACGTAGGTGAGTGACCTGTAGTCAGGGAGGGTGGACGGGGCAGAGATGTGATGTAGGTGAGTGACCTGTAGTCAGGGAGGGCGGACGGAGCAGAGATGTGGTGTAGGTGAGTGACCTGTAGTCAGGGAGGGTGGACAGGGCAGAGATGTGACGTAGGTAAGTGACCTGTAGTCAGGGAGGTGGGCAGGGCAGAGATGTGACGTAGGTGAGTGACCTGTACTCAGGGAGGTGGACGGGGCAGAGATGTGACGTAGGTGAGTGACCTGTAGTCAGGGAGGATGGAGAAGCCAGAGATGTGACGTAGGTGAGTGACCTGTAGTCAGGGAGGGTGGATGGGGCAGAGATGTGACGTAGGTAAGTGACCTGTAGTCAGGGAGGTAGACAGGGCAGAGATGTGACGTAGGTGAGTGTCCTGTAGTCAGGGAGGTAGACAGGGCAGAGATGTGACGTAGGTGAGTGACCTGTAGCCAGGGAGGTGAACAGGGCAGAGATGTGAAGTAGGTGAGTGACCTGTAGCCAGGGAGGGTGGACGGGGCAGAGATGTGACGTAGGTGAGTGTCCTGTAGTCAGGGAGGTGGACAGGGCAGAGATGTGACGTAGGTGAGTGACCTGTAGCCAGGGAGGTTTGACAGGGTAGAGATGTGACGTAGGTGAGTGACCTGTAGCCAGGGGGTTGGACAGGGCAGAGATGTGACGAAGCTGTCATATTCTCTACGCTTTTCCCTTTGTTCAATCTATATTTTTTTTGTTTCTTTTAAATATTCATTTGTTTTTTTAATTATTTATTTTTCTCATTCTTTATTTTGTTTAACCTTTGTAAAACATACATTTTTTCTGCTGCATTTGTTACTAAGTCAGGAACTTTCTACGTATTATTCAGCTTATTGTCTGAGTCTTTTTCTCATTTCCTGTAGTAAATTGTCATTCCTCTAATTTTTAGTTACAGAATGTTCTACACTAGTTGTTCATTAATGAACCAGTAAAATGATTATTTATGCTTTGGTATTGATTTAGTGTAGGTTTTATTGTAGGTTTTAATGTAGTTCAGAATATTCATTTCATGATTAAGAGGTGTAGGCTGCCCCCGGGTGTCTTGTCTTTTATGTGGGTTTGATTCTCTCCGAGGGTCTTTAAACATAAAGTATCCACATGCTCTAGTAAGCTTTTTCTTTATTTTGGATTATTAAGGCGTTTGTAGTTACAGGTATCATTATTGCCATCTAATACCAGAATCCCGTCTCCACGAAGAATAAATCTCTCACTATCCAAGATTTCTGTCATTTAAAAAAATGTTTTCTATAAATTCAGTATTATCTTGATAGGGACCATATATATTTCTAATGTGTATTATTTTTTCTTCTGTTTTAATATTGTGCTACATAACTCCCCCCGCCCTCGAAAAAAATTCAAATATTACCGGTCCCTCTGGCATTGCTTTTATATGGACTAATATCCCCATTGTTGTTCAATAACTTTGTCTACATATTATTAACAAAAGTATTTAGTCCTTTTTCTTTTCCATAAATCCTAATACCTGTTTATCGTTGTCTGTATTATTTAGACCTCTTCAATTTAATGTTAAAATCTTCAACAGCCATAAGTCAAGTGGTGTTGGTACCTAAGTATCCTAAAGTATAGCATACATAGTCTATCGTGGTTTGATATTTGGTTGTACAAACAATGTAAAATAAGAAACAACAATGGTATATGTCCTTGTACCACAGGAACTTTCCTGTACATACACCTATACACGGTGGTGACGTAGCCCCTGAATCAACCAGGTTACATTCAATCATAAATTACATTCATCTGGCCATTATTAATGTCAGATGACGAGTTAAAGTATTCAGTGTATTGTTCAGACAATAACCGTCTGATATTCATGATTATCATGTAAGGATTGTGTTATACATATTAACACTCTTTTATTTACATATACTCGTAATTCAATGATCATTGTGTAAATAATCTAACATCTATAATTTTTTTGTTATAATGTATTCAGTATACATTGAACTCAAGACCGTTTTAGTTTCATGAATTCATCTGTATTATCAATTTCCAGGTTTTGAAATTTTTGACCGTTGACTGTTTAGAATATTATAATGCCAAATCAGAATGTGTATATTAAAATCAGTGTTTCTTGTATGTAGCATGTACAGACGGTACCTTTGGTCTAAACTGCGGACAACCCTGTGGTCAGTGTCTGGCTGGACATGTGTGTGACAAGGTGAAAGGACAGTGTCAAGGTTCGAGGTGTGAGAGAGGATGGATGGGACCTCAATGTGGAACAGGTGGGTTGGTCACGTTATGGTCGTACATCCACGTAAAATGGGATTAGAACAGAGGAAGGTTCAGGCCAATTCGACCATGACATTCGATGTATTACAACGTTTCTTAGTTGTTTGTGGTGTCCAACATTCTCCCCTGGTACAGCAAGGTTGAAGTCTTGATATTCCTAATACCGTGGTACAGATGTTAAATCAGAATTGATCGATGGAAACTACAGTCAGTGACTCATACATTGTTATTTTTTTAAATCAGCCTGCAACGACACTGGCCTCTACAGCTACAACTGCAACGAGACATGTGGGATGTGTCTCGGGGAGGACTGCCACCCCATCACAGGAGAGTGTTCCCGAGGGTGCAGGCCCAAGTATGTTGGACCGACGTGTCATCTGAGAGGTACGCGTACGCACCGTTGTCTTGCTCTGGAATCTGTTGGAGTCACCAGTCTTGCAACATGGGTCATAGCTGTGGACGTACTCGGTAGAATGTGGGTGTGACATGACCTATGGTAGCTTGGTCTGTCTGGCAAATGTAACTTAGCTGTGGGCGGACCCGGTAGAATGTGGGTGTGACATGACCTATGGTAGCTTGGTCTGCCTGGCAATTGTAACTTAGCTGTGGGCGGACCTGGTAGAATGTGGGTGTGACATGACCTGTGGTAGCTTTGTCTGTCTGGCAAATGTAACTTAGCTGTGGGCGGGCCTGGTAGAATGTGGGTGTGACATGACCTATGGTAGCTTGGTCTGTCTGGCAAATGTAACTTAGCTGTAGGCGGACCCGGTAGAATGTGGGTGTGACATGACCTATTGTAGCTTGGTCTGTCTGGCAAATGTTACTTAGCTGTGGGCGGACCCGGTAGAATTTGGGTGTGACATGACCTATGGTAGCTTGGTCTGTCTCGCAAATGTAACTTAGCTGTGGGCGGGCCTGGTAGAATGTGGGTGTGACATGACCTATGGTAGCTTTGTCTGTCTGGCAAATGTAACTTAGCTGTGGGCGGGCTCGGGAGTATATAGGGGTACAAACCTTGCAAGGTAAGTTAGCGGTCGGTAGATTACTTGGATACGCCCATCTCTCCTTTTAAGAAAGAAACGGGATTCGTCACTAAAGCAAACGCTACGCCACTGATAATGCAACCGACACCACTGCAGACACTGAAGTCTTTTACATTAAGGTAAAAGGGCCTTCTGGCTCGGACTCTGGCAGCTCGTTAAATCAACTGGGCACTTTCTGGAGAATATGGAGACGAATGTAAGAATATGTTACAAGTATACGTTCGCTGTGTGTAAACTATGGAGAATATGGAGACGACGTTTCATGTTCTTCTGAAGTATGTACGACTATGTTACAAGAGTACGTTGGTTGTGTGTAGACTATGGAGAATGTAGGGATGTCGTGTCACGTTCTAATAAATAATATACGAATATGTTATACGTTTACTTTAGCTGTGTGTGGACTATGGAGAATGTGGACATAACTTGCATGGTGATATGTTTTGGTTTTCGATATGGAACTTGGTGTTATTTCAGAGCCGCCGAACGTGGGTGGTCAGGCCGGTGTGGGTGTGGCCTACGCCTTTGTTTTTTTTCTTATCGTGCTGCTGATCATCACGTTGTATCTTCTGAAGAGGTACTGCACATTCTTGTATACAACATTTCGAATAATTAAAAACAGTTTACGGCATCACACAATATTACAATTTACTAACATAAAATACATTACAAACGTTTACGGCATTTGACAATATTACAATTTTCAACATTACAAAACATTACAGTTTACAACATCAAACAATATTACAATTTACAATACACAAAACATTACACACAGTTTACGGCATCACATAATATTACAATTTACAACATCACAAAACATTACAAACAGTTTACAGCAAATCAAAACTCAAGCACAAAATATCCTTGAATGTCTAATGATAAGTCCATGCGTGCTATTATTGCATTATGTGGAAATTGGTACGGATTGTAATTTGCATTCATTACTTAAGGGTTTAAGGTGCGTTACTCATAACTTATCTACCGGTATTGTTAACCGGTATTGTTAACTGATATGTCATGTAAGTAAATGAACAGTTACAGGCTGCTCTTACAGGGGTCCTACTGGTGCAAATAATGCCCGGTAGTTCTAGCCTGAGGCTAAACATTATGTTTTTGATGTACGCTTTCCACAGACGGCAACAACGGAAATCGACTGGTGGAGTCGCTGCAGATGCCATTGTTAATCCAGCATTTGCAGGTGAGTTTTAATAAATGCATATACAACCAATACCGAGCCAGCTGACAATCCTAGTGCATGTGGATGAAGCATTAATGTTATTGCGACAACGTCATCTATCAGCTTTATGGGGCAGGTATAAATTACCTGTCTGTGATTCTTAACATCGAGTCTCACATTACGGGGGACGGCCGGGTAGCCTAGCGGTTAAAGCGTTCGCTCGTTACGCCGATGACCCGGGTTCGATTCCTGACATAGGTACATTGTGTGAAGCCCATTTCGCCGTGATATTGCTGGAATATTGCCAAAAGCGGCGTAAAACTATACTCACTCACTCACTCATTACGCGGGTTGGCGCACGAAAACTGGTGCTAGTCATGGCCACGTCCCAAGTCTGTCAAGAGACCCAAGATAAGTAGTTGCTTTGAAAATGATAATACTGATCACTGGAATGAAACTGCCAATGGTTTGGCATTCTTTAACCCCAACTGATACATTATCAGGTAGGGGCACGGGTGGCCCAGTCGTCTAAGGCGCCGCAACTCGCTGTGCGGTGTTGCGTCACTTGAGCACGCCAGAAACCTATCATTGTGGATTCGAATCCCGGTTCGCCCCAATTATGTTTCTAGGTTTGTCAGCACCATACCCGTGCTCTCGGGTTTCACCGAAGTGGTAAACGTTAGACCTGCATCACTTCGGGCTTTCCTCCCACATTAAGCTGACACGCCTTGATATAACTGGAATAATGTTAAAAGTGGCGTTAAACCCAACTCACTCACATTATCAGCTACTATCCTACAGATCCGTGACAACAGAGATGTTCTGTAATCTTTCAGGTGAAGAAGGCGTGTCGGATGAGAATGATGATGACGGCATTTACGTCAATGTGGAGAAGACCAAGGTCAAGGTAGCTGAGCTTCGAGAATACATCGCCAAGAGAGAGGACAAGTTCGTGTCTGAGTATGGGGTACGTTCATCAAATCAAATCGTAACTGAGACGTCTTTAAAATCGTCTCTTGGAACTATTAACGTCTTGTTTCTGCTGATGTCCAGATACTGATGTGTTCATCTTTTCGCTAACACCTAGTATCATCACTATATGATAGTGATTCATAAACACTTGCTCATGATAAAGTAGCATCCGTCCTGTTTGTGTCCAATCTGAACTTTTAATACGTATAGCACACACTCCGAGTACTTCGGGGACATCGTTAAGCATGGTTTTTGCACAGCTGTGTATATTTCAGTCGTGCAACTATGTTTTTTCACTTCCAGAGAGTGCCCAGGGGTCTTATTCACCCCCACACCGCCGCCATCAGCCAGGAACACAGAGCCAAGAACAGATTCAAAGCCATGTATCCCTGTAAGAGCTCTGATTTTAATGTCATTCGCGATTAACAGTATACTAGTTATTGCAAAACACCATGAAAATGAAAATTAACTAATTGTCATTGGTTAAAAAGAATAGTGAGTGAGTGAGTGAGTTGGGTTTAACGCCGCTTTTAACAGTATTCAAGTTATATCGCGGCGTGTCAGCTTAATGTGGGAGGAAAGTGAAGTGATGCAGGCCTCAGACGTTAACCACTTCGTTGAAACCAACGAGCACGGGTATGGTGCTGACAAACCTAGAAACATAATCGGGGCGAACCGGGATTCGAACCCACAATCATAGGTTTCTTGCATGGCCAAGGGACGCAACTCTGCACAGCGAATCGCGGCGCCTTAGACGACTGGGCCACCCGTGCCCCCGTTAAATAGAATAAACTCCACTACTTGTACATGTTTGTTAAGCAGTCCTTTCCCCACCAGCCTATTCAGTTGAGTATCTGGCCCAGGGCTATCTGAAGTAATAGAAATGAGGGTATTTACGTATTATCGATGTCCTTGGCAAAATAACACAGGCTGAAACATATAGTGTTTGTTACTGAGAAAACCCCTTAATCATTAATTGTGAAAGAACTATTTTCGGGAATGTTGATGCATATCACGAGTAGGATTTGTTGTTTGTTTGTTTGTTTGTTTGTTGTTTAACGCCGAACTCAGCAATATTCCAGCAATATGATGGCGGTCTGTAAAATAATCGAGTCTGGACCAGACAATCCAGTGATTAATATCATGAGCATCGATCCACGCAATTGGGATACGATGACATGCATTAACCAAGTCAGCGAGCCTGACCACCCGATCCCGTTAGTCGCCTTTACAAGCTTAGTCACATTTTACGGCAAGCATGGGTTGCTAAAGACCTATTCTACCCCGGAATCTTCATTGGTCCACGAGTAGGGGAACCTCGAAGGCGTTGAGGTTTAATTGGTCAGACAGTAGCTTACATGATCTCTTACAGATGACCACTCCCGCGTTGTCCTGCAGAAGATCCCTGGGGACAAGAACTCCGACTACATCAACGCCAACTACATCAACGTATGTCTCTTATTTCAATAAAGCTCGCACATTTAAGTACATATCTCTGCTGTAAGAAAGCATTCTGAATAACTGTGCTGGTATGTGTTGTTGGTATTACAGCTAGTAGTGTCTGGACTGAAAGGAATAACTAATCGGATACAAACTGAAAATTAAGAGTAACTTTTATCAAAATAACATTTTGCATAAATATGAGTGTAATTGTGGGGGTGGAAAGTAAAGGGCGATACAATGATTTATGATATGTATAATTGTACACAGACCTACAAGAGGAAGAAAGCCTTTATTGCAACTCAAGGTAAGCTTAAAAGCTCCTGACCTTACCTTATAATCATAATAGCAGAGACATGTTGCTACTTTGGTCTAATATAATGTTTATTTCATGAACTAGTCTGGTAATCTATAAAACATTGACCACACATTGTATTTATCTTAAACCTAAAAAGCAAATCACGAGCATGTTTGTTTGTTTAGCAATATCCAAGCTATTTAAGGCGGTTTTTAAATAATCGAGTCTTGACCAGACAATACAGTGATTAATATCATGAGCATCGATCCATGAACTTGGGATACGATGACATGCATCAAGCAAGTCAGCGAGCCAGATCCCCCGATCACGTTTGTCGCCTTTTACAACGTTTGTTCAATAACGTCAAGTCATTGTCGTAGAACATAATTCGACATAATGGAATGATTAGAATGTCCTGTTACCAGTTGAAAAAAACATTGTTATTATGTTCGTAAGGCCCAATGCCGAAGACTGTGGGCGACTTCTGGAGGATGGTGTGGCAGGAGGAGACCAACATCGTCGTCATGCTCACCAGACTCAGGGAGGGGATAAAGGTGATGCTGTTGCCTAAACATCTAAATGTTGTCCCTTTCTCCTCATTCCTAAATACCCCTAAACATGACTTTTTAATCAGAACACAACTGTGTAATGTTGGCTGTAAATTAAATATTTGTTCCGGTAATGACACCGGGGAGCAATGTAAACAGGATGGCATAATGATTCAAAACGTTAACTTTAGATAATATTCCGGAATCTCAACTGAAAGAGTTTCCATTGGCCAGATGCCATGATTATCTATGATGTTCCTGCTGTGTCTATGTGTTGCTTTTAATGGAGAAGTAGTGATGGAAACCCGGAATGTCTTTGTTTGTTTGTGTGTGTGTGTGTGTGTGTGTTTGTGTGTGTGTGTGTTTGTGTGTGTGTGTGTGTGTGTGTGTGTGTGTGTGTGTGTGTGTGTGTGTGTGTGTGTGTGTGTGTGTGTGTGTGTGTGTGTGTGTGTGTTGCTGTGAATGTCAGTGTATGTGTGTGTCTGTGTTGCAGTGAATGTCAGGGTATGTGTGTGTTGCTGTGAATGTCGGTGTATATGTGTGCGTGTTGCTGTGAATGTCAGTGTATGTGTGTGTGTTGTTGTGAATGTCAGTGTATGTGTGTGTTGCTGTGAATATCAGAGAATGTGTGTGTATGTGTTGCTGTGGATGGCGGGGTATATTAGTGTTTGTTGCTGTGAATGTCAGTGTATGTATATGTGTGCTGCTGTGTGTTGCTGTCAATGTCAGTGTATGTTTGTGTTGCTGTCAATGTCAGTGCATGTGTGTGTTGCTGTCAATGTCAGTGTATGTGTGTGTTGCTGTCAACGTCGGTGCATGTGTGTGTTGCTGTGAATGTCAGTGTATGTGTGTGTTGCTGTCAATGTCAGTGTATATGTGTGATGCTGTCAATGTCAGTGTATATGTGTGTTGCTGTCAATGTCAGTGTATGTGTGTGTTGCTGTCAATGTCAGTGTATGTGTGTGTTGCTATGAATGCCAGTATGTTTGTGTGTTGCTGTCAATGTCAGTGTATGTGTGTGTTGCTGTCAACGTCAGTGTATATGTGTGTTGCTGTGAACGTCAGTGTATGTGTGTGTTGCTGTCAACGTCAGTGTATATGTGTGTTGCTGTGAATGTCAGTGTATGTGTGTGTTGCTTTCAATGTCAGTGTATGTGTGTGTTGCTATGAATGCCAGTATGTTTGTGTGTTTCTGTCAATGTCAGTGTATGTGTGTGTTGCTGTCCACGTCAGTGTATGTGTGTGTTGCTGTGAATGTCAGTGTATATGTGTGTTGGTGTGAATGTCAGTGTATGTGTGTGTTGCTGTCAATGTCAGTGTATATATATGTTTCTTAGAGTGGATGGCGGTGTATATGTGTGTGTGTGTGTTGCTATGAAATTCAGTGTATATATGTGTTGATTGCTGTGGATGGAGGTATATGTGTGTTGCTGTGAAAGATTTTGTATGCGTTTGTGTTGCAGTGGATGTCAGTGTACGTGTTTATTGCTGTGAATATCTGTGTATATGTGTTTGTGCAGGTGAAATGTGAGAAATACTGGCCGGAGAGGAACAATCCACTGCAGCTGGCAGACCTGACCATCACAAACGACGGGGTCGTTGAGAGACCGGACTACTGCATCAGACAGATGATCATCCAGCACAAGAAGGTTCTCACCACCACAACATCTTATACATTACCCCTATAGACCGTGTCCCCTGTACCCCATGCTTATCAATAGAGCCTACCAGGATGGTTACAGTGTGTGACCTGGCTGTGTATCATCTGATACATTACCCCTATAGACCGTGTCCCCTGTACCCCATGCTTGTCAATGGAGCCTACCAGGATGGTTACAGTGTGTGACCTGGCTGTCTATCATCTTATACATTACCCCTATAGACCGTGTCCCCTGTACCCCGGGCTTGTCAATAGAGTCTACCAGGATGGTTACAGTGTGTGACCTGGCTGTGTATCATCTTATACTTGACCCCTATAGATCGTGTCCCCTGTACCCCATGCTTGCCACGAGAGCATACCAGGATTGTTACAGTGTGTGACCTGGCTGTCTATCATCTTATACATTACCCCTATAGACCGTGTCCTCTGTAGCCCATGCTTGTCAATAGAGCCTACCAGGATGGTTACAATATGTGACCTGGCTGTGTATAATCTTATACATTACCCCTATAGACCGTGTCCCCTGTACCCCATGCTTGTCAATAGTGCCTACCAGGATGGTTACAATGTGTGACCTGGCTGTGTATCATCTTATACCTTATCCCTATTGACCAGATCTTTTGTACCCCGGGCTTGTCAATAGAGCCTACCAGGATGGTTACAATATGTGACCTGGCAGTGTATCATCTTCCTGGACGACTTGGAGTCATTATACTGTGTCTGATTGGGGTATCTCTAAAAGACGGCATTACTCTGGACTAGTACAAGCAGCACCCTATCCACACACCGCAACCGCACCCCGCACCCCGCACCCCGCACCCCGCACCCCGCACGTCGCTAAATAAGCGCAATAATCTTGAATCCCACCTACCAACCTATTCCCTAATGTATATTTATTTTACTGAACGGGTTCAGTTATCTATTCAGAGAGACATTATGAATATGTTCTATGAATATGCAGATTATGTTCCGTTATAGCTGAACGAGCGCCGTCAAGTGATGCAACTGCACTATGTCACGTGGCCTGATCATGACGTCCCATCAACCCCTCAGCTCGTGCGGTTCTGGAAGGTGTTCCGCTCAATGACGGCTGACGGCCAGGCTCCCGTCGTCGCTCACTGCAGGTTTCCAAATTAACTTACACCATCTTATAAACTGATCCATTCGAAATGTGATCATATGAAGAATGATGTGTGTGCGTGTGTGTTGATTTTGTGTGAAAAATGCATCACCCTCAACAGATAACAGGGAAGATGTGATAGCATGGTGGCTAAGTTTGTTCGTCAGTTTCAAGACACAGATTTAATTCCCTAAATGGTGCAAGAAGTGAAGCTATCGTTGTGTCCTCCGTCATGTAATTTCCTTGATTCTTTTATGCAAATTATGTTAGTGACGTGTGACACATGGTGTCATCCCTGATTTTCAGTGATCCATTCTTGTTGTTTTCACCACAGTTTTGCATTTGTGATCCTATCTAATCTGTTTCGGCGGATACTAAAGACCGACTTTTGTCTGGCATTGACGTTTTCTATATACAGTAAACTACGGTTATAACGAACACGCTTATAACGAACTGACGGATATAACGAACTTCCTTTTTGGTCCCGACTATTTGCTGTAGTTATGCTGTATATATGCTTATAACGAACTACGGTTATAACGAACTAAACTTAGTAGTCCCTTTGAGTTCGTTATAACCGTACTTTACTGTATCTGATACTGCTAAAATCACAATTACTGACTCACTCAATGGTACTCACACGAGGGACCCTTCACTTCCCCATGTACACAGTCGCCATGAGAAATGTGTTTATTTCCAGTGCTGGAGTTGGGCGGACAGGGACGTTCATTGGACTCGACGCGATGATGGAGCGGGCTTGGCAGGAAGGAGTTGTGGACGTCCATGACTTCGTCCTCAAGATGAGAGCTGACCGGGTCAGCATGGTACAGACAAAGGTCAGACAGAGATCGCGCGTGTCCGTTGTTATTGTTGACAGTCACTGAAGTAGAAGTTAACAATAACTGATTATTATTCCAAAACCACAACTTAATATAGTCCTGAACCACACATACATCGCATGTCAATAGTGCAAGAAAAATAACATTCTTGGATGTTTTACATCTCTAGAATGCACATTCCCTCTGAAATGCACATTCCCTCTGAAATGCAAAGTCAACGCAGTCGTCCCGTGAATGTTTGATCTTCTGGAGGGGCATATTACGTTTCTGTGCCTCGATTTAACGAAACATGCGTGACTCAATTGCAGCAAATACCTGTCGCCTCATTTGTAATGTGATCGCTTCCGACATTGCTGAGCTATTCTACACATAGCATTATATAATTTCGGTTTCCCTGAATACATCTTCGTCAGTGATGAAATTCCCGTCTCGCCATATCTCCTCCTTCCCCCAGGAGCAGTACCTGTTTCTCCACCAGGTGGTGCTGGAGGCGCTAAACAGCGACATGACACACATGACGCCCGCCATGTTTGACAGACGGTTCAGCACCGAGAACATGGCTTCTGCACCAGAGGAGGCCATCTTGAAAAGAGAATGGGAGGTAAGGCATGGCCTTTGAACAACACTGCCCTTCGCCGACATTGACAATATGTCCTTCAGTGAGGGATTAGGATTTACAAGGATTCTCCCTTCACTACAAGCCACTATCGGCACATTAACGAATTAAGCATAACGACTTCCTAGCTTCCATCATTTACTTTCGGTGACATATTTTGGGTGAAATTTAGATATATCTTGTGACCCGTTCGCTGACAGCCAGTGTGGCGATATAAGTATGCATGTTGTCAAGGTATGTCCATACTGTCCGGCTAGCCGATATGGATGTTTTGCACAAGGCAGTTCCCGGCCAAAGGAACCTGCAGAAGAATACAGATAAATTTCCTTTACGAACAGAAATAAACCACACTCAACCTTACCTGCTTCTATTTTTCAGAAACTCGTTGAACTGAAAGCAGAATTGGCTGCCTCTGAAACCGAGGGTGCTCTTCTGTCAGAAAACACGCGGAAAAACCGTAGCAAGGACATTCTGCCAGGTACCATTTCTCCTGCCATGTGTAATATGGCAAATAGACCTATGATGACAACTCTTTGAGCAAACTGTTACATGGTTTATATATCTCAACTTGACATCGTCAAAGTGAGCTCACGTCATGAGTCTCCGCCCGTCATCCATCTGTCAGTCCGTAAGCACTGGACCTAAAAGCTATCCTTCTTCAAAACAACTGGACATTTATCTATATTCCCACAGTATGTCCTACTTCTACATACCCCTGTATATAACAAAGACGATTTCAGATGCAGACTTCAGATGTTTCGTGATTATTCATAACATCCTACATTGCATTGATGTAAGGGAACATATCAAAATGTCAATGGCATATAGCAAAGTTAGTTACCTAAGTTACAAACATAATTGTGAATATGTTGACAACTGGTGTTTGGCACAATCCTTCTAGTAGTATGAAGTCTTTGACGGGCATTTAGAAGAACAGGTATACATGACACTATATTTATGGATAAAATACGTTGTTATCCACACAAAAAGTGTATACTATATACTAAAATATGAAAACATATGCTTGTATTAATTCACTAATGAGATTTCAGCGGGTCGTTTATATTAAGACTACAAGTATTAAAAAAATATGTTTTGAAGGTTATTTTGGATGTATTTAACATGTTTTAACTTAATTATATATACATGATGAGTTGGTTGTAACATAGTAAATTACACGGGGTATCAGTTCTGATTATTACTTTAAAAGTTGAGTTTGATCAGTATTATTACAGTCAGATCCCTTAGCCTCTAGGTTTGATTATCCTAAATAATGGAAGAAGTATCATTGAAAAACGTCAGTGAAAACTCATGATATCATGTCAATGTGTTCGGTATTACGGTACACAGAAAGAGGCTGGTTCAGAACATCTTCACTCGCCACTCGCGTCTTATTTAGCTGAGTATAGGTGAGCTTCTGTACCTCTGACACGTACGTTGTATTCTGTGTACCACTGTCTTATTCCTTTTCGTCTGAGGATGGCGATTGTATGATTTCATTTTGGGAAATAAGGAAGATACACAGAATTGCACCTTCTGTTCACCCTAACTATATAGTATGCATAGTATCTGACAAAACCACAAGATAAATTTCTTAAATTACCTAAATTTTAACTTTCTATATATATTCTTTCAGCTGATAAATGCCGGCCGATCTTAAGTCTGCCAGTTGCCGGAAGTAACGATTACATCAACGCAGTATTCGTCCCTGTAAGTTACGATGCTCTTGTCAAAGATTCAGTTGGTACAAGTAGATTCAGTTGGTATCGCGTAGGGTATTGAAAGGATCTGTATAAATTAACAGTAATATTATTAAGTTAAGGTAATATCTGAAACAACGGATCTCGTTTGACACAATGACATAAGTAAAGATGTAGACAGTAATAAAATAGCCCTTTTGTTGTCCTTTCACATTATCAGTGTATCCTTCTCCTTATATGTGTTCCTAATCCACGCCCTTACCCTGACAATGTTTTTAATAGTACTTTAACACAAACCCTGGAACATGTAAAAGTCTCAGTGTCTCCTAACTCTAACACGTGTAATACTGTAACACATAGTAAATACAGCAATGTGTCCTTACTCTGACACGTGTAATAATGTAAAACATAGCAAGTTCCCCAGTACAGCAATGTGTCCTCTTACTCCAACACGTATTTCAACATTACCTTACTTAAACACGTACTCCAACTCCTCCTTACTCCAACACGTATTTCAACATTACCTTACTTAAACACGTACTCCAACTCCTCCTTACTCCAACACGTATTTCAACATTACCTTACTAAAACACGTACTCCAACTCCTCCTTACTCCAACACGTATTTCAACGTCCCCTTATTCGAGCACGTATTTCAACGTCCCCTTTCTCGAACACGTATTCCAACGTTTCCTTACTCCAACACGTGTTTCTACGTCCCCGTACTGCAACACATATTTCAACGTCCTCTTACTCCTAAACGTATTTCAACGTCCCCTTACTCCAACTCGTATTTCAACTTCTCCTTACACCAACACGTGTTTCTACGTCCCCGTACTGCAACACATATTTCAGCGTCCTCTTACTTCAACCTTCAACACGTATTTCAACGTTCCCTAACTCAAACACGTATTCCAACTCCTCCTTACTCCAACACGTGTTCCTTACTGTACATCCTGTCTCTGTCTGTGTGTAGACGGAGACCCGTCAGAAAGGCCTCCTGGCCACACAGCTGCCTCTGCCCTGGACTGTGGTGGACTTCTGGAGGATGGTCTTGGACCACAATGTGCAGACCATCGTGTCTCTCGTCTCAGAGGAGTGTTCATCACAGGTAACTCAGCTGCGAGTCCTGTGGGCTCGAGGCCGTGTCGGTGCCCGCTGACTGTTTGACCATGAAAATGGTGGACCAGGTGTCAATACGTTCTCGTATTGATTCCAAACTTATGCTCGAGATTTCCGAATAAATGACATTTTCCCCAAAAAATAATTTTACGTAAAATATTTTTTGGATCTTAATAATATTTATTCTGTCTGGTTTATTCTGTGCTATCCCTTTTGGTATTTTATCAACAGGGGTTACGGGTGGCCCAGTCGTCTAAGGCGCCGCAGTGTGCTGTTGCGTCCGTCATACTTATGACTGTTGGTTCGAATCCCGGCCCCCCCGATTATGTTTCTAGGTTATTCAGCACCATGCATACCCGTACGTGCTCGTGTGTTTCACGAAAGTGGTAAACGTCTGAGACCTGCATTACTTCGGGGTTTCCTCCCATATTAAGCTGTCACGCAGTTATAGAACAGGAATCCTGTTCAAAACGGCGTTAAATCCAACTCACTCACTCAATCTTATCCGCATAATATAACTTAGCCTTTCAAGTGGAGCCACACCTTGCCTTACTGAACACATAACATATATACATCTACTACCAGGTCGACGAAGCCCACGTTTGGCCTAAGACAGATGAGGTTTTGGAGTGTGGACCATTTCTTGTCAAGAAGACGGAATCAAAGGACAAGGCTATAGTTTTGCGAGTCTGGTTAAAGGTATGCAATATAAATTCCAGTACCTTATCGCTACTGAACACCCAGGAACATAAATAGACGTCATCACAAACATACAGCCACAACTAGATACACACATGGTTGATGCCATTCCTGGTGCCACAACATTATTTCATTCTATTTAATGTCGAATAGCAACAGTGTGCCAACTCGTGGTTTATACATTTCTGTGTCTCCCAGTACGCTGAAGAGAGCACCGAAAAGGATGTCACATTGCTGTTTGTGAGTGACTGGATAGAGGGAGTGGACACGCCTACAAATACGTCACAGTTCCTGTGCTTCATCAACGACCTTGCCGCCCGGAACACCTCCGACAACATCGCCGTCATGTGCATGTAGGTTAAGTCCGTCGCCGTCCATCTGATATTAAACAATGAATCGAGAGTATCCGGAGTAAAATTTTCAAATTAAAATGTTTGCAATATAAATGCGTTTTGTTATTAAGGCGTTGTTTGTGTGTTAAATAACTGTAAGAGTACGGGGCATAAGCAATACTGGAATTGTTACCTCGTATTCTAGGGATGGTGCCAGCAAGTGTGGATTGTTCTGTGCTGTGCTGAACATCATCCAACAACTGAAGCAAGACCAGGTGATCGACGTGTATCTGACAGTCAGAATCCTGCAGACAGTCAGACCCAGCTTCCTGACTTCCTATGTGAGTATCTGATAGTCATATTGCTACAGACAGTCAGACCCAGTCCTGACATCCTATGTGAGTATCTGATAGTCAGATTGCTACAGACAGTCAGACCCAGTCCTGACATCCTATGTGAGTATCTGACAGTCAGATTGCTGCAGACAGTCAGACCCAGTCCTGACATCCTATGTGAGTATCTGACAGTCAGATTGCTACAGACAGTCAGACCCAGTCCTGACATCCTATGTGAGTATCTGACAGTCAGATTGCTGCAGACAGTCGGACCAGCTTTCTGATCATCTCATGATCGACATGTTTTGTAACACGAGGTTTTTAGGGCAGGTTCGCCCCGTTTTCTCAAGGGTGAAACACATCTGGCATATATAATATGTAAGTCTCTCTGTCTACAGGCACAGTACCAGTTCTGCTACAGGATGGTTAAGGAACATCAGAAGACCATCAACTCTGTGTATGAGAACTTCCAGAGATAGGGAGGGGCATTTCATCTTCGGTGTCCACAACCGTGACAGAGCCAAACATTTCAGCGATCCACTTCAGGCCGAGGAGGGAGAACAAGGGATTTTTCGAGTGCAATACCAAATTACTTAATACAGTAAACTACGTTTATAACGAACACTCATATAACGAACTGACGGATATAACGAACTTACCTTTTAGTCCCGACCATTTGTTGTATGTATGCTGTATGTATACTTATAACGAACTATGGTTATTACGAACTAAAATGAGTGGTCCCCTCGAGTTCGTTATAACCGTAGTCTACTGTAAATCATTACTGTTATTCAACACAACATCGGTTATTTAGATGGAGCATATTTCTTGGACACACAGAACTGCCAAGTTTTGGAAGCATGAGACAAAACACAGTGTGGTTCAAAATTGTATAAAGCCAATCCGTTGTTTCATCCGTTTGATACGTTGCTTCATTTACTGTGATTTATATATTCCTCATTTTATATTCATTTATTAGTTGTATGTGAATTATGTATAACCTGTGTCACTATGTGCATGCCCATTCTAATTATATACAAAAATATATTACCGCTACCCCTTGCCATTCGCATGAAACTTAAAGAACTTATTGAAGCCACAATATGGTCCATGTCCATTTTCTAAATGGAAGTTTTTTGCATGATCGCATACATGTGAACATCGCCTTGGGTCAAATAGTATTTGCACTTAGTTCATGACTATATCATGCTTCCTCTGTTATCATTATTTCTAAACCACATGCCATACTATAGGTATGAATGGTTTGTATATAAGTCAAGGCTACCTATGTCAGTTTTATACCTCATCATCATCAGAATTTAGTTAGTAATCAATGATATATCTATATGTATACTAAATAAGACAAGGCTATGTTTAGATTCATACATCATCAGAAGTATTTAGTAAGTAATCCATCATACATGTATACATGGTATATAAGGCCAGGGTCCACTTGCACAAAGCGATCTTAGCGCTAAGACTATTCTAAGTCTATGTTAAAGTATGGGAGTTACGGTCATCTTAGCGCTAAGGTCGCTTTGTGCAAGTGGGTCCAGGTCCTGTTTAATTTCTACACCATCAGAAGTTTTTAGTAAGTAATCATTGATGCATTTGGACATGGTATATAAGGGAAGGCTATATTTATACATCGTGTGAAGTATTGAGTAGGTTAACACAAAAGTGGCTCCACTGACAGGGATTGCAAGGGATCGCTACTTACTGCTGGCGTTGACATAAAACGACATCGGAAGAATATGTGTTGCCTCAGATCCCCAAATCCCAGAGTTGATGGTGACGGGTCCAACTCATCCAGCATGTAGTATCGAGGTCTGGCCCGCAACAATGTATCAAAAACATAAACATATTTTATGTTAAACTTTTTAAAAGCTTTTTTAACAGTCTATCATAACTGTACATTTTGCTTTAACAATGGAAGTTTTCTAATAATGTTGATGTCTTTAGCCCCTGGATGCCGTAAGCCCTCCTATTGTACAATCATTGTTGAACAAAGCTGAAAATACACTTCACGCACAAAAATACATTTCACACGTTTAGAGTCAGCTGAAAAGTGTCTTGTGGTAACTTTCAGGTCTTTGAGGGCAAAGCAAATATATTGTTAACGACCTCTAAACACTAGGTGCATCATCAGACAGAAAACTAATTCAGTAATCTACACCCCCATAATTGCTTAAAGGTAGATGCAGTGCCGCGTGTGCGTAATTCTCCCGCACAACTTCACTAAATGTGCGGGACAAAATTAAATCGGCATCCGAGGTTATATATATATATATATATATATATATATATATATATATATATATATATATATATATATGTAAAACGATTCCAGCATGAACTGATGCTTTGAGATATTGTTTCTTCTTCTTCTTGACGCAAATAAAAATTTCTCTCAAATGTTAAATTGTTTGTCATTAACAGTGAAAACACCCTAATTTAAAGTAGGTGTATGAACTATGTGCTCTTGACAACATGTAGGACAGGTGATACTTTGATGGATTGCCATATGATGTTAAATAGGACGTAGTGCGTTATTAACTACAGGTATTTATGAGGCCGCATGCAATAGAAGAAGAAAAGGTACCTGTCTCTCAATACGCACATGCGCTAAGGGAAAATGTTCGGGCATCGTGCCCAGTCATACGAGGTTAACATATACTGCTCAAATATGATTAAGGATCACCCGATTCTTTCATATTACTATTGTGTATCTGTCATGTCAGGACATCATTAATCCCATATTATTCACCTGGGAACCTTTGGGAAATAAATTAAGTTTACACACGCATCCTGTGTGTAAACCTATGTATATTGCAGTCTTCGATCCCCGGCAGCGACATTACAAAAGACGATGAAAACTGGTATTTGTTGTTGCCCTGTCTGGCGCGCGACATTAAGTGACTGGTCGGCTCGGAGTCAGTATACTGTGTCTGAGTGGGGGGACGTTAACCTGCGACATGGGATCTCACTCAAATCGGCATTAGTCCGGACTAGTACAAGCAGCCACACATACACGTGCAATCATGACGCTATGTAAGTGCAATAATCTTGAACGCTAATGGTGACGAGGAAAATTGACACTTCTGAGGACAACAGTCTCTGTAGCACAATTGGTAGCGTGATGGGCTAGAAAACAAGAGTTTGCAGGTTCAAATCCCACAGAGGTATGAATGGGTTGTTGCTGTATACCTAATTATACACACATACAGGAAGCTGACAATGAAAGTTTATCTGATTACTATTTAACCTTTTTTGATACCTAGTAAAAAAATACTAATTGATAAGTAAAGTCTATTAAAATGTTAGTGACTGAGTGGACAGTAAAATACACTAAGTTAGTAAAAAAATTTAAACTGTTTCTGTCAGTGAGGAATCATGACGTCAATCATACCATCAAAAGTAGTCTGGTCCAGAAACACGGGCAAACATCGCACGTTGAGGGCAGACCAAGGTTAGGAATGTCAAGGACGACAATAGCACGCAATTCACATCCAACATGGAACAGCACAATTCTCGGGCGTCACTGGAATGCAGGAACCCGCTTCTCAATCACTACTGGGAGACTTGGTTGCAGAGAAGCCGGTTTACAACTACGTTGCCTGCTATTGCCAAGACATTAGCAAAAGCGTTTAGCTTGGAACTTTACATCATAAAGACGGATCCATTGGTCTGATAAATGTTGCTACCTTCTTCATGAGTGAGTGAGTGAGTGAGTGAGTGAGTATGGTTTTACGCCGCTTTTAGCAATATTCCAGCAATATCACGGCGGGGGACACCAGAAATGGGCTTCACACATTGTACCCATGTCGGGAATCGAACCCGGGTCTTCGGCGTGACGAGCGAACGCTTTAACCACTAAGCTACCCGACCGCCCCTCTTCACATGGCTGGCGGAGATCAGTTGCACTATTGTTGAGTTAACAAACAAACGCACATAGTCGATCGAAATTTAAAAAAGAATAGTTTGAGGTGCTTGAATATACATGCATGTTGCCCCTAGCTGCTTTCCGTGTATGGCAACAGTAAATGTGACTTTTAGACATGTTAGGATCCGTTCACAAAGTCAAATGGCTCCGTTCGGATTTCCAGATAGAAATGGTGCCCAACAATGTATGTATGTTGAAAGAGGTGACAAAATTGTTCGGATGCTAAGGCTCGGTGATTGTGTGTCATCGTACCCCGACGGCGTGCATCGTTGCTTTAAACATCAATCACTGGACTGTTTGGTCCAGGCGAAATATTCATAGATCTCAACAATACAGTAAACTACGGTTAAAACGAACTCGACGGGGCCACTAATTTTAGTTCGTAATAACCGTAGTTCATTATAAGCATATGTATAACAATTATACAACAAATGGTGGGACAAAAAAATAAGTTCGTTATATCGGTCAGTTCGTTATAAGCGTGTTCGTTATAAACGGAGTTTACTGTAATCACACTCAATCCCATTAACTTCCTGACACTCCATCTCTGATATGTCGACGTTTATCAATAACAAGAGTTACACCGTTTCCAGGATATTTCAATCCGGTTGAAATACAATGAAGTACCTCTTATAAATTTCGTATCACCCGTCCTGTTATCGCCATGACCTGAATACAAAACGCTGTTATCTCCATGTTATCATCAATGCGCTGCATATCTCGCGTATACCTATGAATGTCGGACACGACATGATGACACAGACTACGATATATATTATTCTGTTTTTCTCTACTCTCGGGACGGTGGTGAAAGTCGGTAGCCAAGGTAAGACAAGTTGTAAAGTAAAGGTTGATTTGGGAACAATTTCTTCGACTTCTTTCACCCAGAGACCGTAATAAACCGCTCAAATTATCATATATTACATGTATACAATGTCGGGCTCAAATGGCCTGAGGTCTGTGTGTCATCGCTATATCAAACCTACAGTGTCTTTGTCTCGTCAGATTGCATGTTGTAGTGCGCTCAGATATTGTTATGATTATGAACGTGAAGCCTAAACCCTCTTCGCTCAATCACAATAACAGGTATCACTGACTGCGGGTGCACTTCCGGGTGTTCCTACCCACCGACTCCCTGCGTCTCGAGGTGCATCACGGGCCGGGATGGAAGCTTTTGTCAAAGACGTAAGTAAATGTACCTCATACGAGAGTCAACTTACTTGACACCTTCCGAAAGAACTCTCCGTAAGATTGAAACCTCAAGTGATTACAGATTGTTCTCTGACTAATCAAGCTGCCGAATATAAAACGTCAATAAAAGAGAATAACCAATCTCGTTTATCCAACGAAACCTATTCCGATGGGCTTAAAGTCAGAATAGCCGTGAAAAATATATGAACGGATAAATGAAAATCAGCGATGACACCGGGTGTCGAAAAGGGTTAGCATGTTCTGCCCTACCGCTAGCATCCTCCACTCACGCAGTTTGCATGTGTTTGTTGTAAGTTTGTTGAAACTGAAAACGATAAGTGATTTTATGATTATGCTGCCTATAGTGAGTGAATGGGTTGAGTTTAACGCCGCTGTTAACAGAATTCCAGTTATATCGCGGCGTGGCATATAATGTAGGGGAAAAGCCCGAAGTGATGCAGGTCTCAGACGTTTACCACTTCAGTGAAACCTACGGTCGGCAAACTGAACGCACCTCCCACTGTTGTTCGAGGTAACGTTGCCCTTGGTCGACCAACAGAACACATCTCACACTGTTGTTCCAGGTAACATTGCCCTTGGTCGACCAACAGAACACATCTCACACTGTTGTTCCAGGTAACATTGCCCTCGGTCGATCTACTGAACAAACCGGTTCCTTCAACGACACCGCGTTCTGCCCCTCCCCCGACCCCAGCTTCGGCCGCATGTTGTGTGGGGTGAAGAACAGCAGCCTGGCGGTTGACGGTGATGCCGACCACAACTACTGGCACGGGACGTGTACCCACACTGTACCCCACAACACAACCGCAAGATGGAGCGTCAACTTTGGCGACAGTCACGTGATCAGTCACGTGGTCATTCACACTGACGAAGATCGTTAAGTTTTTTTAAATATATTTTATATCAGTCAGTTGACTTAAAATCTTATTTTGATTGAATTAATTGTATAAAGTTAATTATAGAAATCACTTGAAGGGGTGGATCCATTCATCATGATCTGCCGAGGCATAGCAAGTTTTATTTTATTCTAATGTAACACAAGATCCGCAACGGCAAACGGTCACCTATGTGACTCTCATATGCAGTGTGGTATTTCAACCAGAGCCCTCGACCTTCAAGACGTTCCAGCTGTATGTGAATGACCAGTGGTGTCAGAACTGGACAGCACGGTCAGACGGTGACCTTGTGGCAGATATTACGTGTGTCCGGGCGTTGATTGGCTCCAACCTAACCATCCTCAGCCCACCAGGTCCCGGGAATCAAAACCTGTCTGTGTTGGACTTGTGTGAAGTACTAGTATACGGTAAGTGACTCATTCAGTGTCTGCATTTTAGTGGAGAGAGAGAGAGAGAGAGAGAGAGAGAGAGAGAGAGAGAGAGAGAGAGAGAGAGAGAGAGAGAGTGAGAGAGAGAGAGAGAGAGAGCAAATAATACATATGCATATGTTTGGTAAATGACCTTGTGTTTCGTGAGTGGTAGATAATTAGAGGGTAGCACGTATAGTTTATCCGCTAATAGCTGCACACATTTATTCAAAAGCAAAGGTTCTTATGACTTGCTGTTTTGCCCAGACAACCTGTCACAATATAATTTGTATATACCGACACGATTGATAGCCAACCAATGATGCGCTTGTCAGAGAATATGTATCTGAGATGCGTAGCTGACCTGTCAATATTGCGGGGGTCGGAAACACTTCATTGCGAATGCTTAACAACGAAAACACTCCTGACAATTACAGATGGTGTGTCCCCCTTTGAAAACAAATTATCTGAGAAAGGATTTTGATATTTGGCCCCCTCCCTTTTAAAAATACTGGATCCGAACTTGCAGGCACTTGCGTTATCTGATGTCGACGTCATCATCACCATTATGATCCAGCTCTTAATACACGTCATAACCGCAGTTTACGGCTATTTTGTATGTGTCACGTGTGATATCTGAATCCTTTTCTTGTACTGACAGAGTGCGTGATATCTGAATCCTTTTCTTGTACTGACAGAGTGCGTGATATCTGAATTCTTTTCTTGTACTGACAGAGTGCGTGATATCTGAATCCTTTTCTTGTACTGACAGAGTGTGTGATATCTGAATCCTTTTCTTGTACTGATAGTGTGTGATATCTGAATCCTTTTCTTGTACTGACAGAGTGTATGATAGCTGAATCCTTTTTATGTACTGACAGAGTGTGTGATATCTGAATCCTTTTCTTGTACTGACAGAGTGCAGCGATTTCTGGTTCGGCTTCAAGTGTGACAAGCGGTGTTACTGTAACAACACGTCGGAAGTGTGTCACAAGGTCACAGGTCACTGTCTTTCTGGGTGCGCACGGGGAAGGGCAGGAGCCGATTGTCAGATGAGTGCGTGTTTTTTAAACAATGACGTTAATACCACTGCCAGTTGTTTCGCATTGGTCATCTACCCTTTCTTCATATCAACGATTAGGCATGCCAGAAATATATGGTCGTCGATTCGAATCCCGGTTTGCCCAAATTGTGTTTCTAGGTTTGTCAGCGCTATGTCAATGCACGTGTGTTCGACCAAAGTGGCAAATATCTGAGACCTGCTTCTCTCGGCTTTCCTTCTTCATAAAGCTGACCCAGCTCGATGTTACTGATTTACAATTTAAAGGGCGTTAAACCGAACTCACTTACTTATGAAATATTCGGAACCGATGGAAATTATAGACATTTAACGTACAATGCCAATTGAACTAATCAGTTTCTAAATGGTTGTATTTAGTGTTATAGGACACGGTATAAAGATACTATTTGGCCAAATATATATGCATGATTTATGTAATAAGAAAAACAAAAATTACATATGAAAGGGACCCGTGAAGATGCGGGTAGAGAATAGTTCTTCATCAACCCACGGTTGCCGTAAGATGCTACTATACTGTCGTAAGAGGCGGTCAGATCGGGTGGTCAGACTATCTGACTTGCTCGCTGATCGCAGCCCAATTGCGTGGATCGATGCTCATGATGTCAATCACTGAATTGTCTGGCCCAGACCCGATTATTTACAGACTGGCGTCATATAGCTGGAATATTGCCGAGTGCGGCGTAAAACAACAAACAGATGTGTACTCACGAAAAAGAAATATGCTCTGATCCTTCCAATATTTGCATGTCTTGGACTGATCCCAAATCCAAGTGTAGCAGCAAGATTAATTTTGATGAAGGGGCTTTTCATGAGACTTCTGGGGCGCACTTCCACTGTTGGAACTGTGACCCAAGATGAAGCAGAAACAGTCAGTGGAACAATTGATATGGTCACGGACGGACTTTCAAGGAGTTAGATATTCACTTGACCTTCGAGCAGAGAGCCTATTTCACTTATTTAGTCATGAGTTGTAGTTTCAAATGTGCAAGTCTAACAATCAGTGATATGAACCTGTTCAATAACTACCACAACCATGTTAAATTTATAAGTTGACATTTCAATAAAAAGGCGTCCAAACGCCCAACATTGACCGGACCGTTCATCAAATACATTCTTACTGTACTTACTTCTTACTTTATTTCTGCTTATTCAGTTAATGTCGCACTGGCCAGGAATGCCATACAGAGCAGTACGTACAAAGGGTTACTATGTGCCAATTCCACGTCTCCTCAGTGTGAGACATCGGCCAATCACGCAGTGGATGGGGACACAAGGAGTATAAACGGGTCGTGCTCATACACCAACTCTGGTCAACCCTCGTCCTTCTGGAGTGTTGACCTGGAGAAGACTCGGGACATCCACAGCTTCAGGATCTATAATAATAAAGACCGTACGTGCAGGTTACAGTAAACCAAACGAAGGGGAAGACGGGTCAATCATTGCGACAATTAACAGGATGTATACATGTTTCTCTTTTTAATTATTATGAAGTGTAACTGCCTCTGTGGTCTAGTGGCAGAGCGTCCGCCCGGAGAGCGGAAGGTCCAGGGTTCGATCCCCGACCGCGTCATACAAAAAGACGTTAAAAGATGGTACTTGTTGTTACCCTGTCTGGCGCTCGGCATTAAGGGGCTAAAACAAGGACTGGTCGGCTCGGAGTCAGTATACTGTGTCTGAGTGGGGTATTCATGTTAAACTGCGGCATGGTATCCCAGTGAGCTAGCACTATAAATCGGCATCAGTCCGGACTAGTACAAGCAGCCACACAAACACATACACGTACATGCACGTCGCTATATAAGTGCAATAATCTTGGACGCGACGTTAAACCCAATTTCACCTCACCTCACCTATAATGAAGTGTAATTATGTCCGACTGTACATTAAGCAATGAAACAAACACAATCAAATCTTGAATCCAAAATTATATTTATTGCAGCGCATACGGTTGATGAATAAATATGTTGAAAGATTATGTTATGAATTCACTTTTGAGAGGTAATAATTAAGTCCTGTGCACAGACATCATTGCAGTCGTGTATAGTTATTTACCCCTTCTGGGGGCACGGGTGGCCCAGTCGTATAAGGCGCCGCAATTCGCCGTGCACAGTTGTGTCCCTTGGGCACATCAGAAACGTATGATCGTGGGTTCGAATTCCGGTTCGCCCCGATTATGTTTCTTGGTTTGTCAGTACCATACCCGTGCTCGTGGGTTTCACCAAAGTAGTAAGACCTGCATCACTTCGGGATTTCCTCCCACGAGATAAGACGCCGTTTTACAATTGGAATACTGTTCAAAGCGGCGTTAAACTCAACTCACTACTTAACGCTTTAAATGTTTATAATTCATAGCCTGCTGGAGTTATGCAATAACCGTTCAATTATTTCCTTCCAGCAAAATAGTTTTACAAATCACAATACGACAGTGATATCCCCCAGGTAGTCTGCCTGCTATGATATAATGTTATTATGTATTTACCATGTAATTTCCAGAGCATATATCCTAATGTAGACGAAACTGTTGTGTGTCCACATCGTCATGTATATTTAAGACGCAAATGTACTCTTTATTTAGATCTAGACTACTTGAGAGGATTCAAAGTGACGGTAGACGGCGCTGCGTGTTACCAGGCCGACACCACAGCAACGCCACCTGCTGTCATTGACTTTAACTGCACTGACGTCATTTCCGGTTCTAATGTCACCATTCTTCTCCCATCCGCGTTGCCGGGACAACGTGTACTCAGTTTATGTGAAGTGGAAATTTATGGTAAACCAAAAACGCACGCGATTATGATATACATGCTCCTGCTAAAATAATAATATTTTTTGTTGAAGACAATAATCAGATTTTTTAAGGGCACTTAATTCTCATCAATATCATCTTCCCGAGGCAAGAGTGCCCACTGGCCTATGTAAAAGTCTAGTTTAAATTAGACCCTTGCCTTTCACGCCGACTGAACAGACTCAGACTCGCTCGGGAGAAGACTATGGCATATATCGATAGTCCAATCAAAGTACGTTTTACAAAATCAACATCAGGGGTCCAAAAACGAGATCTTTCTTTTGGCGACAGCCATCGCCTGTCGAATTTGAACTGAAATTATTCCCCACTATAATTGAAGACAAACATTACGGAGTGGTTCAATGTTTTCAATCAACTAGCGGGGCGGTCGGGTAGCCTAGTGATTAAAGCGTTCGCTCGTCACGCCGAAGACACGGGTTCGATTCCCTACAATGTGTGAAGCCCATTTCTGGTGTCCCCCGCCGTGATATTGCTGGAATATTGCTAAAAGCGGCGTAAAACCATACTCACTCACTCACTCAATCAACTAGCACAGGTACTTTTATAAATCTATGTGCAAACATCACCGTTTTTTAACTCGAACGACTCAATCTCATTAAAATCAGATCTTAGTTCTCACTACCGCTAAAGAAAGATCTGAGGGCATCCCATTAGGGGTCACGTCAGAACGACTTTTCATCCGACCAATCAGAGCGTCGCTTACCAGATCATGAAAGTGACACTCGGAATGTGATTTCTAATCATGCATTCTTTAAAACTTTAACGCGGGGTATTCCGAACGATAGTTTCGGGTTTAACGACTGAATCCATACAATCTAGACCATCTAATGGCCATTCCAGAATGTTATTTTTAATCGAGAATTTGTCAAAATATGTATCGAAGCGTAGTCGCCAATTTGAAATTAGTGCCGTAAAGCACGAGAAAGCTGCCATCTGATTGGCTAATGTCGACTTCTTGTCAGTCCGTCTTCTCTTACTGGAAGTGTGGAAGCTACTCTTACATGGGGTCCCCTCGTGTATATGTGTATGGAACTGCCGACTGTACATACGTCTGGTCAGCTATGTGTCCAAATGTTGTGCTCCTTGCTTTACTTCAGAGTGTGATGACTTCAAGTACGGGCTGGACTGTGAAGCCACCTGTAGCTGTAAGGACGTCACGGAAGTTTGCAACAAGACCACAGGCTATTGTCGGAGTGGATGTACTCCGGGCTTGAAGGGGCAGAGTTGTACACAAGGTGGGTCGGTGCTAGGTTATGTCAGAGTGTATAAAAGTGGATAGATGATGTGTTTGACTTAATAGGTAGCTGTGGTACGCAGTGGTTAGTTTATAGGTTTGTGACTGACGAGTCGTACAGGTAGTTGGTTGCCGAGTTTCCAATTGAAGAGTACATGGGCTAGGTGGTTGTTGAGTTTCTGACTGAAACGCGGTACACCGGGTGGGTGGTGGCTGGGTTTCTGACTGAAGCGTTGTACTCAGGGTGGGTGGTGGCTGGGTTTCTGACTGAAGCGTTGTACTCAGGGTGGGTGGTTGCTGGGTTTCTGACTGAAGCGTTGTACTCAGGGTGGGTGGTTGCTGGGTTTCTGACTGAAGCGTTGTACTCAGGGTGGGTGGTGGCTGGGTTTCTGATTGAAGAGTTGTACACCGGGTGGGTGGTGGCTGGGTTTCTGATTGAAGAGTTGTACACAGGGTGGGTGGTGGCTGGGTTTCTGATTGAAGAGTTGTACACAGGGTGGATGGTGGCAGGGTTTCTGATTGAAGAGTTGTACACAAGGTGGATGGTGGCTGGGTTTCTGACTGAAGCGTTGTACTCAGGGTGGATGATGGCTGGGTTTCTGATTGAAGAGTTGTACACAAGATGGATGGTGGCTGGGTTTCTGATTGAAGAGTTGTACACAAGGTGGATGGTGGCTGGGTTTCTGATTGAAGAGTTGTACACAAGGTGGGTGGTGGCTGGGTTTCTGACTGAAGCGTTGTACTCAGGGTGGATGGTGGCTGGGTTTCTGATTGAAGAGTTTTACACAAGGTGGATGGTGGCTGGGTTTCTGATTGAAGAGTTGTACACAGGGTGGGTGGTGGCTGGGTTTCTGATTGAAGTGTTGAACTCAGGGTGGGTGGTGGCTGGATTCTGACTGAAGTGTTGTACACCGGGTGGGTGGTAGCTGGGTTTCTGTATGATGAGTTGTATACAGGGTGGTTGGTGGATTGGCTTCTGATTGAAGTGTTGTACACCGGGTGGGTGGTAGCTGGGTTTCTGACTGAAGCGTTGTACTCAGGGTGGGTGGTTGCTGGGTTTCTGACTTAAGCGTTGTACTCCGGGTGGGTGGTGGATGGGTTTCTGATTGAAGAGTTGTACACAAGGTGGGTGGTTGCTGGGTTTCTGACTGAAGCGTTGTACTCAGGGTGGGTGGTTGCTGGGTTTCTGACTGAAGCGTTGTACTCCGGGTTGGTGGTGGCTGGGTTTCTGACTGAAGCGTTGTACTCAGGGTGGGTGGTGGCTGGGTTTCTGACTGAAGCGTTGTACTCAGGGTGGGTGGTTGCTGCGTTTCTGACTGAAGCTTTGTACTCAGGGTGGGTGGTTGCTGGGTTTCTGACTGAAGCGTTGTACTCAGGGTGGGTGGTGGGTGGGTTTCTGATTGAAGAGTTGTACACAAGGTGGATGGTTGCTGGGTTTCTGATTGAAGAGTTGTACACAAGGTGGATGGTGGCTGGGTTTCTGACTGAAGCGTTGTATTCAGGGTGGGTGGTGGCTGGGCTTCTGACTGAAGCGTTGTACACAGGGTGGGTGGTAGCTGCGTTTTCTGAATGATGAGTTGTAAACCGGGTTGGTGGTGGCTGGCTTCTGATTGAAGAGTTGTACTCAAGGTGGGTGGTGGCTGGGTTTCTGACTGAAGCGTTATACTCAGGGTGGGTGGTATCTGGGTTTATGACTGATGAGTTGTAAACCGGGTGGGTGGTGGCTGGCTTCTGATTGAAGAGTTGAACACAGGGTGGGTGGTGGCTGGGTTTCTGACTGAAGCGTTATACTCAGGGTGGGATGTAGCTGGGTTTCTGACTGAAGCGTTATACTCAGGATGGGTGGTAGCTGGGTTTCTGAATGATAAGTTGTAAACAGGTTTCTGATTGAAGAGTTGTACACAAGGTGGATGGTGGCTGGGTTTCTGATTGAAGAGTTGTACACAAGATGGATGGTGGCTGGGTTTCTGATTGAAGAGTTGTACACAGGGTGGGTGGTGGCTGGGTTTTTGATTGAAGAGTTGTACACAAGGTGGATGGTGGCTGGGTTTCTGACTGAAGCGTTGTACTCAGGGTGGGTGGTGGCTGGGCTTCTGACTGAAGCGTTGTACACAGGGTGGGTGGTAGCTGGGTTTTCTGAATGATGAGTTGTTAACCGGGTTGGTGGTGGCTGGCTTCTGATTGAAGAGTTGTACACAGGGTAGGTGGTGGCTGGGTTTCTGACTGATGAGTTGTAAACCGGGTGGGTGGTGGCTGGGTTTCTGACTGAAGCGTTATACTCAGGGTGGGTGGTATCTGGGTTTCTGAATGATGAGTTGTAAACAGGGTGGGTGGTGGCTGGCTTCTGATTGAAGAGTTGAACACAGGGTGGGTGGTAGCTGGGTTTATGACTGAAGAGTTGTACACAGGGTGGGTGGTGGCTGGGTTTCTTACTGAAGAGTTGTACACAGGGTGGGTGGTGGCTGGGTTTCTTACTGATGAGTTGTACACAGGGTGAGATGTAGCTGGGTTTCTGAATGAAGCGTTATACTCAGGGTGGGTGGTAGCTGGGTTTCTGAATGATGAGTTGTAAACCGGGTGGGTGGTGGCTGGCTTCTGATTGAAGTGTTGTACACAGGGTGGGTGGAGCTGGGTTTCTGAATGATGAGTTGTAAACCGGGTGGGTGGTGGCAGGGTTTCTGTCTGAAGTGTTGTACACAGGGCGGGGAGTGGCTGGGTTTCTTACTGAAGTGTTGTACACAGGGTGGGTGGTGGCTGGGTTTCTGAATGATGAGTTGTAAACCGGGTGGGTGGTGGCAGGGTTTCTGACTGAAGTGTTGTACACAGGGTGGGTGGAGCTGGGTTTCTGAATGATGAGTTGTAAACCGGGTGGGTGGTGGCAGGGTTTCTGTCTGAAGCCTTATACTCAGGGTGGGTGGTAGCTGGGTTTCTGATTGAAGAGTTGTACACAGGGTGGGTGGTGGCTTGGTTTCTAAATGATGAGTTGTAAACCGGGTGGGTGGTGGATGGCTTCTGATTGAAGAGTTGTACACAGAGTGGGTGGTGGCTGGGTTTCTTACTGAAGAGTTGTACACAGGGTGGGTGGTGGCTGGGTTTCTTACTGATGAGTTGTACACAGGGTGAGTTGTAGCTGGGTTTCTGAATAAAGCGTTATACTCAGGGTGGGTGGTAGCTGGGTTTCTGAATGATGAGTTGTAAACCGGGTGGGTGGTGGCTGGCTTCTGATTGAAGAGTTGCACACAGGGCGGGGAGTGGCAGGGTTTCTGACTGAAGTGTTGTACACAGGGTGGGTGGTGGCTGGGTTTCTGAATGATGAGTTGTAAACCGGGTGGGTGGTGGCAGGGTTTCTGTCTGAAGCCTCATACTCAGGGTGGGTGGTAGCTGCGTTTCTGATTGAAGAGTTGTACACAGGGTGGGTGGTGGCTGGGTGTCTGTCTGAAGCGTTATACTCAGGGTGGGTGGTGGCTTGGTTTCTGAATGATGAGTTGTAAACCGGGTGAGTGGTGGCTGGCTTCTGATTGAAGAGTTGTACACAGGGCGGGTGGTGGCTTGGTTTCTGACTGAAGTGTTGTACACCGGATGGGTGGTGGCTGGGTTTCTGAATGATGAGTTGTACACCGGGTGGGTGGTGGCTGGGTTTCTGATTGAAGAGTTGTACACGGGGTGGGTGGTAGCTGGGTTTCTGAATGATGAGCTGGACACAAGGTGGATGGTGGCTGGGTTTCTGAATGATGAGTTGTACACAGGGTGGGTGGTAGCTGGGTTTCTGAATGATGAGCTGTACACAAGGTGGATGGTGGCTGGGTTTCTGCATGATGAGTTGAAAACACGGGTATGTCAGTTCTTAAATGTGTACAGTAAACTGTCAAACACCTTGTCTAACACGAACACTTACGCAATGATATATAGATGTATAATCTTCTACACCATATGCATGAATACATCGCAGTTGTGTCCCTTGTTTCAGGTTGTCGAGGGGGCCACTATGGTGTGAACTGTTCCGGTGTGTGTGGTCACTGTGCCTATGGATCTGTCTGCCACACGGTAACAGGGAAATGTCCAGACGGTCTGTGTGAAGGGTGGTGGACTGGTGACCGTTGTCATGGTAACTTCCAGTTACCAAGATAGTATAATACCAAAACACGCTAAAATGCTAAAATGAATACCGTAAAGTTTGTTTGTTTGTTTAACACCGTAAAGTAAAGATACTTACAGTACGTAAAGTAAAGATACGTAAAGATACACCCTCCCGAAAAAAACTCAACAAATATGTAACGCAACTTGTTATGAAATCCTTCGTTGAGGGCGCGGGTGGCCCTTAGCTATGTCAGAAACCTATGATCATGGGTTCGAATCCTAGATTCGTCCTGGTTATGTTTCCAAATGTCTCTGTGCTATCCGTGTGCTCCAGGGATTCACGAGAGTAGTAAACCTTTCCTCCCACATCAAACTGAGAGCCGTGATAATACTGAAATAATTTTTAAAATGGTATTAAATTCACTCACATTATCCATAGCTAGTTAATGTACAGTAAAGTACTGTTATAACGAACTCAAAGGGACTACTAATTTTAGTTCGTTATAACCGTAGTTCGTTATAAGCATATATACAGTATAACAACAGCAAATAGTCGGGACCCAAAAGTAAGTTCGGTATATCCGTCAGTTCGTTATAAGCGTGTTCGTTATAACCGTAGTTTACTGTACTTAGACCGGCAAGGCGGGTAACTGAAGGATGTTGTCTGTACAGATTGTCGGAAGGGTACCTACCCGCGGGATGAACGGTGTGAGCCCTGTCTTGCTTGTGAGGACGACGACTGTGACATCACCGGGACGTGCCTGAGGGGATGTCGTGCTGGATACAGCGGGGAATTGTGTAACGAAAGTAAGTTGACATGTCAGACACTCTCCTTGTGGCTTGACACTTAGGGAAGTTATCATACGTGTTCCTTCTGACTGTTAATAAACATATTTGTGTAAATTATGACTTATAAAGATCAGTAAATTAACATTCATCTTTCTCAATGGAGCCCTCAGCTTGTTTTGGTGGTTGTGAAAATTTGCCAGCAGTAATAGTATTGCTATGCAGCATCTCCCAATTATCTCGTAGTAGTAGTAGTAGTAGTAGTAGTAGTAGTAGGAGTAGTAGTAGTAGTAGTAGTAGTAGTAGTAGTAGTAGTAGTAGTAGTAGTACTAGTAGTAGAAGAAGAATTAGTAGTGGTGCTGGTCTTGAACTGTCTTGTTGCGCCTAATGTTTTTCAAACTCACAAGCCATAGTTGTCTCCCTTACCATAGCATCGACAACAAGTGTCCTTTGCATATCGTTCATTGTTTGTTTGTTTGTATGTTTCTTAACGCCGCACTCTCCAGTATTCCAGCTATATGATAGCGGTCTGTAAATAATTGAGTCTGGGACAGACAATCCAGTGATTGTCATCACGAGCATCGTACTACGCAATTAGATACGAAGTCATACATCAACCAAGTCAGCGAGCCTTACCACCCGATCCCGTTAGACCAATTTGAATCCGGATCTTCGAGGACGTTAGTTGTTGATCATGCTGATAATGAGACATGCATAGCGACTCGACAGGTTAGAAAATGTAGGTGTTGACAACATCGGAAAATTGAACAAAGATTAACCCTGTCTGATACTTACCATGACTGTTCAACCACTAAAACGGAAGGATCGACACGAAATACCTTTCGTGCTTAGCAACAACATTATCTGACAAATTTAATATCTATATTCTGATTGAACCAGTACTATACACAAAGGGGTTTCTAGGTTTATCGAAAACGTCACAGTTCTATATAATACTACAGGTAATTAAACAAACACTAATATGGACTGAGGAATGATGACGTCATTTCCTGCTTGACGGGCTTGTTATCTCCATGACCTACATGCCCAGCCTTGTTATCTGACCGTGTTATACCGGGGGACGGCTGCATACAAACTACCGTACACCCATGATCCTCCAGGAATCAGGACACAGACAGAGACGGCATGACATATTCGACATACACACTCATTCAGTCATGTCTTGTAATCATGGTAACGATGGGCGTGTCTGTACAAGGTAAGACCATGTGAGAATACCCCTGTGCATTCTGTTGCTCAAGGTATAGCGCCCTCTGGCGGTGAGTTTGATATCGAGTTTGTCCATTACATGGACATGACCACTCTGATCGTTAGTTTGCGGTTCGGTTTTAAACTATTTGGGTTTGAATATGGATATTTTAGTACCCTTTATGCTGGCAGTATGGCGGGGATATAGAGGCTCGGTTAGGTAACCTTCGCGTGTTATTTCAAGGCAGTAATTAAAGGCAATACCAACTGATAGTTTAACACATAGTACTCCCAATGTGTGTACACCTACAGTCCACGTAGGTTGGCCGTCATGATGAAGAATGAGGTTCATGGGAGAATAGTCATGCCCTTTCTTGGTGTTCCCAGCCGTGAAATACCTGAGGTAGCTCTGACAGATGTGAACCCGTATTCGATAATAGCTATAAGAACGTGGCTGGTAATTAATCAATGACTTTCTAGACGATAGTGGTAATATATTGGTATGTTTCCCAGCCATACTTCCTTTATAAAACAATTCAAAACATCCTTCCTGATAGTTGATCAAAATGTACACGTATTGGTTTTATTCACACACATGTTCGCGCACACATCTATTATCTCACATTCTTCTAACACAAGAACACATACAGCGTTCCCTTTATCTCAGAAACATAGACCCGGAATTACAATATGTAGCTGCAGTGCCCCTAAAGATAGGACAAACTGGGCTCTATACCTACATATAGTGAGTTGACGGCGCGCAGCAAGATCCCGGGATTCGAACCCACGTTCATTGGTGACTGGCACGCATAAGAGACGAATCCCTGCATAGAGACCTACGTCACCCCTGGACCCTAGTTCTTGTTGTTGTTGTTTTGCTCATTGTTATATTTTTGGCAGTGATTGTTGATGTTATCATTGTTGTCAACTACATACACTTTATTCAGATGTATTGTAGGCCATAGGCCGATGATACAATGGTTACAGTGTGGTGATCGGAGTTGGAGATCTCAACAGACTTTGCCTTAGATTCATAGCTTTTAGAATATACATGGCTAGTTTCTTAACAGTAAATGGGTTGGTGGATGACATTAAAATATTGTACTTATGTCTTGTCGGGAGCTCATAATAATTCAAGGATATATATTATGTTGTTGTTGTTGTTGTTGTTGTTGTTGTTGTTGTCAATCTTTCGGTAGTTCTTAATATAATAAATGCGTTGTCATGTATCTGTCATTACTACAATTGACCCCAGGGGCCCCACATACAGTGTCATGGTATATTAAACCTGTCCTCATGTCTTTGTACGTCAATCCTGCTCACGTCCTTGTATGTCAATCCTGTTCTCATGGCCTAGGTATATCAAACCTGTCCTCATGTCTTTGTACGTCAATCCTGTTCACGTCCTTGTATGTCAATCCTGTTCTCATGGCCTAGGTATATCAAACCTGTCCTCATGTCTTTGTACGTCAATCCTGTTCTCATGGCCTAGGTATATCAAACCTGTCCTCACGTCTTTGTATGTCAATCCTGTTCACGTCCTTGTATGTCAATCCTGTTCTCATGGCCTAGGTATATCAAACCTGTCCTCATGTCTTTGTACGTCAATCCTGTTCACGTCCTTGTATGTCAATCCTGTTCTCATGGCCTAGGTATATCAAACCTGTCCTCATGTCTTTGTACGTCAATCCTGCTCACGTCCTTGTATGTCAATCCTGTTCTCATGGCCTGGGTATATCAAACCTGTCCTCATGTCTTTGTACGTCAATCCTGCTCACGTCCTTGTATGTCAATCCTGTTCTCATGGCCTAGGTATATCAAACCTGTCCTCACGTCTTTGTATGTCAATCCTGTTCTCATGGCCTAGGTATATCAAACCTGTCCTCACGTCTTTGTATGTCAATCCTGTTCTCATGGCCTAGGTATATCAAACCTGTCCTCACGTCTTTGTATGTCAATCCTGTTCTCATGGCCTAGGTATATCAGACCTGTCCTCACGTCTTTGTATGTCAATCCCGTTCTCATGGCCTAGGTATATCAAACATGCCATACATGTCAAACATGTCATACAGAAACTATATCTGTCCTCATGTCAATCCTCTACTCATGGTCTTGGCAAGTGAATCCAGTACCCATGGCTTTGGTACGTCAATCCTGTACTACTGGTCTTGATACGTCAATCCTGTACTACTGGTCTTGGTACGTCAATCCTGTACTACTGGTCTTGATACGTCAATCCTGTACTACTGGTCTTGGTACGTCAATCCTGCACTACTGGTCTTGGTGCGTCAATCCTGTATTACTGGTCTAGGTACGTCAATCCTGTACTACTGGTCTTGGTACGTCAATCCTGTACTAATGGTCTTGATACGTCAATCCTCTACTACTAGTCTTGATACGTCAATCATGTACTACTGGTCTTGATACGTCAATCATGTACTACTGGTCTTGGTACGTCAATCCTGTACTACTGATCTTGGTACGTCAATCCTGTACTACTGGTCTTGGTACGTCAATCCTGTACCACTGGTCTTGGTTTGTCAATCCTGTCCTACTGGTCTTGATACGTCAATCCTGTACTACTGGTCTTGATACGTCAATCCTGCACTACTGGTCTTGATACGTCAATCCTGTACTACTGGTCTTGTTTTGTAACTTATGTACTCATGGTCTTCGAAACTATATCTGTCCTCATGTCAATCCTCTACTCATGGTCTTGGCAAGTGAATCCAGTACCCATGGCTTTGGTACGTCAATCCTGAGCTCATGGTCTTAGTTGGAACTCACCAGAGTGAAGTTTTACCCTGTCCTTGTCCATTGCAGCATGTGTCAATAACACATATGGCGCCAACTGTGCATTTGATTGCGGTGCGTGTCACAACAATGTGGCCTGCGACATCAAGACTGGGCAGTGCGCTGCTGGATGTGAGCCGGGATTTACAGAAGAGCTCTGTCAAAGTAAGCCGAATGCATGTTATACATTGTTTAAGGGAATCCAAGTCATACAGACCAGCTATGCAATCATCACAAGGATTATGGATGGTTTGGTTTGGTTTGTTGTTTTACGCCGCACTCAGCAATATTCCAGCTATATGACGGCGGTCTGTAAATAATCGAGTCCGGACCAGACAATCCAGTGATTGATATCATGATCATCGATCGACGCAATTGGGATCGATGACAAGCATCAACCAAGTCAGCGAGCCTGACCACCCGATCCCGTTAGTCGCCTTTTACGACAAGCATAGTCACCTTTTACGGCAAGCATGGGTTGCTAAAGACCTATTCTACCCGGATCTTCACGGGTCGATTATGGACGGATACAGTGGCCACTGGGTATTGGTAGGTTGCTCTAAGCTGCGATACGACTGTCAGTGTACCATCGTGCAAAAACGCTGAAGACCCGGGTTCGATTCCCGACATGGGTACAATATGTGAAGCCCATTTCTGGTGTCCCCCGCCGTGATATTGCTGGAATATTGCTAAAAGCGGCGTAAAACCATACTCACTCACTCACTCACTCGTGCATAAACCATCCATTCCCACCAGTTTATATGGCCTTGTCCTAGCTACTTATCCGCCTTTATATAACTGTAATAACACGTATTTACTTCACTCACGCTCCCAATGTCGGCATAATGTTCATTTTCCCTTATAATCAATGTTTACTATATCCATGTTGTGTCCACAGACTGCAGGGCGGGGCTGTATGGTGAGGGATGCAACATGACATGTGGTCGCTGTGCCAGTACTGAGTGTGAGAAGGATACCGGCAGGTGCCCGCGGGGATGTGAGACGGACTTTGGCGGTCAAACTTGTACAGGTGATGATGATTTTATTCAGTGGATTACAGATTTAAATGTGAAATGTTTGATGCACCCTAGGCACCGGATGTACAGAGGTTACGATGTTGGCGCAAAGAAGGACCAGAACTGAACTCTCTATATTCTCAACGGCAAAAATTATTATCTTTTCTGTTATGTTATTTATCAGAGTTTTATATTTGGAAGCACATTCTTGCTTTTGTTAATTTACGGTATATGATTGGCACTGGGCCGGAGGTGGGCCCCATATGCTTTCACAAGATTTTGTTTCTATTGGAAAATGATGTAATAAAAGGTTGGCCAGCAATGTTACTGTACTTTGCACATTGAATGTTTCCCAAGAAAATGTACTGTGACTTGTGTGACCCTTAGACGCTACCTTTGTCTGTACTGACAAGAGTTCGTTGTGTGCTCAGAAGATTGATCAAACTTCCAAGACACTAATCATTAGTAAATATATAAAAAAAACTTGAGTAGTGAGAAAACTATGACATTGTGTGAGTGAGTGAATTGGGTTTAACGCCGCTTTTAACATTATATCACGGCGTGTCAGCTTAATGTGGGAGGAAAGCCCGAAGTGATGCAGGTCTCGGACGTTTACCACCTCGGTGAAACCCACGAGCACGGGTATGGTGCTGACAAACCTAGAAACATAATCGGGGCGAACACCACCGTGAAGGCGAGATGGGCCTCATTAACACAGAAGGGGAGATGTGTCTTTTCACGTTCAGTGAAGTTGAAGGTCCTTCTTCTCTCGATGTGTTTGTCGTTCAAACCCAGTATGTGTGGCGATCTCTGTGTTTAGACAGCTCGCATGGTATGGTGTGTTTCGCGACCCCCTGTGTGTATTGTATGGTGGTACATCCATATCTGCGACTCTCAAGTCATCTAAAACGATCATGTTGTTCCGAGCATCGAAAAAATGTTCATCCTGTAGGTTGGAAGGAATGCTTTTCACAAATGTCACCTGAGTATAGTTTTACTAACAGCATCATAAAGGGGTTGCCACACTGTGTAACACAATGGGATGTTGTCAGGCACTGGTTTGATGTGTCCCCTTTGCAGTATCTGATAAATAAACATGGTCTTTCCAAATCCACTGGGCTCCACCAAGACGAAATGGTATAGCAGCATTATCTATATGTGGAGGGGCGTGTGGAGAGGTGGTGGTGGAGGGTGGGGGTGGGGTGGGGGGTGGGGTGGGGGGGGGGGGGGGGGTAAGGAGAGGTGGCGTTAGGAGGATGAGGCGATGGGGCATGAGAAGAAGGAGGATGAGGAGGCAAAGGGGCATGAGGAGGAGGAGGCGAAGGGGCATGAGAAGGAGGAGGAGGGGGCGAAGGGGCATGGGAAGGATGAGGTGGGGGCGAAGGGGCATGAGAAGGAGGAGGTGGAGGCGAAGAGGCATGATAAGGAGGAGGAGGCGCAGAGGCATGAGGAGGTGGAGGAGGGGGCGAAGGGGCATGAGAAGGATGAGGTGGAGGCGAAGAGGCATGATAAGGAGGAGGAGGCGAAGAGGCATGAGGAGGTGGAGGAGGGGGCGAAGGGGCATGAGAAGGATGAGGTGGAGGCGAAGAGGCGTGATAAGTAGGAGGAGGCGAAGAGGCATGAGGAGGTGGAGGCGAAGAGGCATGATAAGGAGGAGGAGGCGAAGAGGCATGGGAAGGAGGAGGAGGGGGCGAAGGGGCATGGGAAGGATGAGGTGGGGGCGAAGGGGCATGAGAAGGAGGAGGAGGCGAATAGGCATGAGGAGGAGGCGAAGAGGCATGAGGAGGTGGAGGCGAAGAGGCATGATAAGGGGGAGGAGGCTAAGAGGCATGATAAGGAGGAGGAGGCGAAGAGGCATGATAAGGAGGAGGAGGCGCAGAGGCATGAGGAGGTGGAGGAGGGGGCGAAGGGGCATGAGAAGGATGAGGTGGAGGCGAAGAGGCATGATAAGGAGGAGGAGGCGAAGAGGCATGAGGAGGTGGAGGAGGGGGCGAAGGGGCATGAGAAGGATGAGGTGGAGGCGAAGAGGCGTGATAAGTAGGAGGAGGCGAAGAGGCATGAGGAGGTGGAGGCGAAGAGGCATGATAAGGAGGAGGAGGCGAAGAGGCATGGGAAGGAGGAGGAGGTTGAGGCGAAGAGGCATGATAAGGAGGAGGAGGCGAAGAGGCTAGGGTAGTGTTAGTTTCATAATTTCTGGTGGCCTTATGTGTGCTGGTAGATGAACAATTATCTTGTGTCTGAGCATGGTGTATATCCTTGAAAATAGTTTCCACCAGCAAAACACACTACCTTCTTCTCCATGACGCCTTCCACGTGATTTCGCCCTGTCTTATTACGTCTGTTCATCTCACCCTTGGTCCTCTGAACGACAGAATGCTTAATAGACTTTACCCTAAATGTAGGTTGTGCTCGGGTTGACAACTTCACTTGTCTTTGTTCGGTGTTGGCTGAAAATGTGTTGACTTTTCCGCCCTCATTAAAAGCAACAACCTCAGCTATCGTAATGATACATGAATTACGTTTTAATGAAATACCACCTTAAAAGCATTATTTCGAAATTTTGAAAAAAACAACGATTATCTCAATAAAACTAGTTTCTTGTTAAAATAAATTCTAGTTTCAATGTTGAACACTTTAACACGAAGATAATAGTGTTATGTATGTAAGATCCTTTAGCTGCCCGACGAGGCCAGGTGCACATGTGTTCACAATTGTTTCATTCCTAAGGCTGCGTCGCGACTGAGGTATTATCCCTAAACGGGGTCGAGAGATGTAAGATCCTCGTTTCTAGGTGATATAGTGGGAGACGGTTGATTTTTATTACATAGTTTATGGTATGTCACAGGGGGTTTTCACATCTAAACTGAGGACTGTAAATATAGTTTTGCCCCCTCTAGGCTAGAAATCACAGAATATGTGTTAAGTGGAGAATGCCATTTAAACATTATTACTGGTGAGCATGGACATTCGTGTAACAATTCATGGCGGTTTGTCCTTACATGTTTTTTATATACGACATACCTCATAATTGAAAAATATGTGCACCCTTTGTATATACTATACGAATCATGAGTTTCATGGTAAATTTCACTTGGATACAGTACTGGTGAGTATGTACATTAATATTACAATTTATGACGGTTTCTCATGAGATTTCATATAAAGGACATTTTTAACATGAAAATTCGGTGTTTTCTCATTAAACACTTTGGGTGTTCATCACCGCCTCAACCTGCGAGAATTATATCAATAGACGATATGTCATCATCCGGAATGTCCCTCCGTCGAAAAGTATACTAGTATTTAATCTATGAGGTAAAAATGGGGTCAACACGTGCAACCAATTACTGGTGAACAACATGTTTAAAAAGCAGGGGAAATATCGTGGAAGCCACAGCTATAAATAAAAAAAACCCACTAGTTTCGCTTTCCAGCAGATAATAGCCAGTGGTGACACAAAAGTTCATAACAACTGACCATCAAAACATTAAAGAAATCAATCACTTGGGAAGCAGGTGGCTGTGTATGAATTTATATCAAACATTTTAATCTAAATCATGCAGGTATGTTGACAAGGGAAAGCTATGTCAGTGCTGACACGACGTCTGGTGACCTCACCAGAATGGAATCCGGACATTTGCATCTCCATTGTTCTGCGTATATGACGACTCCTTTGGTTTGGCATTGTTCTCGTTCACGTTTTCTTTGATGACTGAGGTGCACCATTGTCCTGTCACCCACGTCATTGTTTCCACGCTACCAACTTGGTAACTATTAATGTCCAATTATGTTTATTTATTAATGATCTTTTTACCTTCGAGTCACGTACTTGTCTTCCCAGACTGCATTGATGGTCGGTATGGTCCCATGTGTCAGAAGGTGTGTGGTCACTGCCGGTATGGAGAGAACTGTGACCGCGTGACGGGCAACTGTACACATGGCTGCCAGGGCGGATGGACGGGAAGAATGTGTCTAGGTGAGTCGGAACAATCACTGTAATAATAATAATAATAATAATAATAATAATAATAATAATAATAATAATAAAATAATAAATAAAAATAATAATAATAATTAGTAATAATAATGATGATGATGATGATGATGATGATAATAATAACCAACAGTTATTGATTTTGTGGAAAATAGACTTTATTTTATTTTGAAAATCAGCGGAGTTCTTGTTCAAATACAGCTCGTGAACGATTTTCATTATACTGAGCTTATCACGGTTTTCTAAAATGCAATTATATCCTTAACCCTTTATTCTTAAAGGGTTCTTTTAATGACAAATGCAAAATACAGTAAACTACGGTTATAACGGACTCAAAAGGATGAGTGAGTACGGTTTTACGCCGCTTTTAGCAATAGTCCAGCAATATCACGGCGGGGGACACCATGAATGGGCTTCACACATCATACCAATGTCGGGAATCGAATCCGGGTCTTCGGATGACGAGCGAACGCTTCAACCACTTGGCTACCCGACCGCCCCGAACTCAAAAGGACCACTAATTTTAGTTCGTTATAACCATCGTTCGTTATACGCATATATACAGCAAATGGCCGGGCAAAAAAACCAGTTCGTTATATCTGACTGAATCACTGATCGTTAAAGGTTCGTCATAAACGTATTTTACTGTACTTCCTTTCAATCCGAATTAGCAATGTTTTATATTATCGTCGAAGTACACCACATTTAAACTGACCAGTTAATTTTACCTTCTCAAGGATTTATAAAAAAAAGCCAAGATAAAAACAACAATGTTAACTTTTTCACTTCATGCTGAAAACTATCAGTTTGTGCATTCCGTGCATGTTAAAGGTCAATGTAACGGTACAGTTAACGTGACAGAATAATTGCCTTGTTTATAACACGTTCGTTTCCCAACTTGGGATTAGTGTGTCAGCCCACTTGGTGTTCCGCGGCGTGATGTTTCAGTGGTACAGTAAACTACGGTTATAACGAACTCGAGGGGACCACTAATTTTAGTTCGTAATAACCGTAGTTCGTTATAAGCATACATACAACATAAATACAACAAATGGTCGGGACTAAAAATAAGTTCGCTATATCAGTCAGTTCGTTATAAGCGTGTTCGTTATAAACGTAGTTTACTGTATATTGCGAAGAAGGGCCGAAGTATTCACTTCATATTTACCATTTCAGCTTGCAGGCTTGGTTACTACGGGCAAACGTGCTTCCCCTGCGGCCATTGCTTGGGTGATGTGGCATGTAACATGACATCCGGTTTGTGCCCAGGAAACTGTGACCCAGGGTGGACATCGAATACCTGTAGCCAAGGTAACGATATATGGGGAATAAACATGTCAATTCATTTTTGAGGGACCGACAATGTGATATTCTCGGGGAGTGAGTGGGGTGGGCAGCCTGGGATGTTGTATCGAGACTAGATATATTTTTAGCTACAGCTACAAACCCAGATATTCTCTACATAGTTTAGAAAACAATAACATTTTGGAAGAATGTATTTGTTGTGGCAGTCAGTTTCTTTTTTTTTCAACAATCTGAAGCATAATACTATCTTCAAGCAATTATCGGGGCAATATACTTTTAACAATAAAATCCAAGCCCTCCCCCCGCAATATCAAACGGTCGGTCGATATTAAAACGAAAAAAAATAAAATAAGAAACGATCTTAATAAACTGTTCAAATGTCACTACATAAGCTGCAGAGTCGACCGCAATATGTTTCGCTACATCACAAGTTTCTATATAGTTTTGACAGAATGGACAATTCGCTTATCTCGTTTTTCACTTTGATGTTTATCACAGTAATGAATCGACCTGTGAAAATCCGGAGTAGAATAGGTCTTCAGTAACCCATGCTTGCTGTAACAGGCGACTGCTTGTCGTAAGAGGCGAATAACGGGATCGGGTGGTCAGGCTCGCTGACTTGGTTGATGCATGTCATCGTATGTCAGTTTTGTGGATGGATGTTCATGATGTCAATCACTGGATTGTCTGGTCCAGACTCGATTATTTACAGACCGCTGTCATATAGCCGGAATATTGCTGAGTGCGGCGTTAAACAACAAACAAACAAACAAACACAGTAAAGAATCATCAACAGGGAAAATAAGGAATGTCAATTCCTAAAGGTGATCCGTATTATATCGCACAAGCTTGCAGTTATCGGTGGTATATTGAGTAGCAGGTGCAACTCATCGGGGCCCGTATCGTTATATTTCACATCTGATTATCAGCATCATGTTTCAGGGTGTCCCGTAGGCTATTACGGAGACAACTGCACATCGGAGTGTGGAAACTGTGCCGACAACTTCAGGTGCAGCAATGTAGACGGTTCCTGCCCCGTCTCCCGCTGTGCGCCGGGGTACAAGGGCACACTGTGCACTACAGGTAATGCCGGGGTTGTATATATAGAATAAAACACGCCTCCGAGGTTTCGGTCAAAAATGTAGAACCGCATGCGAGGGAAATGCCCGTGGGCCGAAGGGTACACACTGTGCACAACAGGTGATACCGGGGTTGCATAGTCGGTTCCCGTCCCCTTCACCCGGGATGGAAGGCACAATGTGCACAACAGATAATATTGGGGCTGCATAGTCGGTTCCCGTCCCCTTCACCCGGGGTACCAGTCACAATGTGCACAACAGGTGATACCGGGGTTGCATGGTCGGTTCCCGTCCCCTTCATCCGGGGTACAAGGCACAATGTGCACAACAAGTAATACTGGGATGGCATAGTCGGTTCCCGTCCCCTTCACCCGGGGTACAAGGCACAATGTGCACAACAGGTGATACCGGGGTTGCATAGTCGGTTCCCGTCCCCTTCACCCGGGGTACAAGGCACAATGTGCACAACAGATAATATTGGGGTTGCATAGTCGGTTCCCGTCCACTTCACCCGGGGTACCAGTCACAATGTGCACAACAGGTGATACCGGGGTTGCATGGTCGGTTCCCGTCCCCTTCACCCGGGGTACAAGGCACAATGTGCACAACAAGTAATACTGGGATGGCATAGTCGGTTCCCGTCCCCTTCACCCGGGGTACAAGGCACAATGTGCACAACAGGTAATACTGGGATGGCATAGTCGGTTCCCGTCCCCTTTACCCGGGGTACAAGGCACAATGTGCACAACAGGTAATACTGGGATGGCATAGTCGGTTCCCGTTCCCTTCACCCGGGGTACAAGGCACAATGTGCACAACAGGTGATACCGGGGTTGCATAGTCGGTTCCCGTCCCCTTCACCCGGGGTACAAGGCACAATGTGCACAACAGATAATATTGGGGCTGCATAGTCGGTTCCCGTCCACTTCACCCGGGATACCAGTCACAATGTGCACAACAGGTGATACCGGGGTTGCATGGTCGGTTCCCGTCCCCTTCACCCGGGGTACAAGGCACAATGTGCACAACAAGTAATACTGGGATGGCATAGTCGGTTCCCGTTCCCTTCACCCGGGGTACAAGGCACAATGTGCACAACAGGTAATACTGGGATGGCATAGTCGGTTCCCGTCCCCTTCACCCGGGGTACAAGGCAAAATGTGCACAACAGGTAATACTGGGATGGCATAGTCGGTTCCCGTCCCCTTCATCCGGGGTACAAGGCACAATGTGCACAACAGGTAATACCGGGATGGCATAGTCGGTTCCTGTCCCCTTCACCCGGGGTACAAGGCACAATGTGCACAACAGGTAATACCGGGATGGCATAGTCGGTTCCCGTCCCCTTCACCCGGGGTGCAAGACACAATGTGCACAACAGGTCATACTGGGGTTGTATGGTCGGTTCCCGTCCCCTTCACCTGGGTTACAAGGCATAATGTGCACAACAGGTAATACCGGGGTTGCATAGTCAGTTGCCGTCCCGTTCACCCAGGGTGCAAGACTCAATGTAATACCGGGGTTGTACATGTATGGTCGGTTCCCTTTGACTCTCTTTTTCTGATTTATGGATAAGCTCATGTGGTAGAGTACAATGTGCATGTTCTACCTGTCAGTGAGAATGTATCATTTGATTCCGGATATAGACGAGTTAGCCAGCAAGTTCAAGTTTACTCATGAGGAAATAAAACATTAACTTTTTTTCAGAATGTCCAAACGGCTTTTACGGCAGTAACTGCAAGTTCCCATGTGGGATGTGTCTCCACAACGCATCCTGTAACAAGACGTCTGGTTTGTGTCCTGGCGGCCAGTGCATGGAGGGCTACAAGCCACCACGGTGTCACGGAGGTGGGTGGGTCAAGCTCCATGAGGGTGGGGGAGGATACAGGGGGTTCGAGCAGCAATTTCGCTTTGAAATATCTCTTGGATCTCAAAATGCATTCTCAACTGATTTATTTTATTGTTGGTCGGTTTGTTTGTTGTTTAACGCTGCACATAGCAATATTCCAGCTATATGACGGCGGTCTGTAAAAAATCGAGTCTGTATTAGACAATCCAGTGATTAATATCATGAGCATCGATCCACGGAATTGGGATCGATGACATGCATCAACCAAGTCAGCGAGCCTATTTTACTAGTACTGAATTCTCAAAGTATTAATATAAAAATAGAAATAACAACGTGTCGAAATATATATTACCAATATCTCTCCCTTTTTATAGTCTGTATACATGCGGGACATTGATATATATGTTTGATTATTTAATTACATCATTTTGATGTGTGGAGAATCTTCGGATTTATTTTGAGGAAACAAATTCATTTATTGCAAATTTATTGGGATTTGGCAGTCAGTCAAGCAAACAAAAAGACATAACCTTCTAACCACGTAGTCGACACAGACAAAATTGGAATAAGACGACGGGCAAAGAAGGTGACGACACCAACGGACAGACAAACCTAATTGAAGCAGACGACACGCAGAATTACAATCAGACGACAGACAAGAGTGACAGACAAGACGATTATGGAATAATCATCAGCAGAGACATTTTGTTTGATTTCCTGCGTTGTTGCAGGTTGTCCGTCGGGAACAATCGGCATTCATTGTAGACATTCGTGTGACCACTGTCTGGATCTGCATTGCGACGTTGTAACCGGGCGTTGTAACAATAGCGACTGCGCTCCTGGATGGACTGGGGACTTATGCATGACAGGTAACCATCTGATCAAATAACAAATACATTATGGATGTTTTAATCATCACATAAATCACTATTATCGTCAACACATATATGTCCCAGGGACATAACGTGAAACCTCTAGGAAAACATCTGACGGCATGTCTTCACAGTCTTCACTTCGTCTCAAATACTTTCTGTGAATACATGAAAAGCCCTTCCTTGAATTTGTTAAGGATTATTGTTAATCTTTGAGACAGGGATTTGGGGGTACATTTGCTGGACCCAGCAATATATACCTCTTTGTACGGATTGTTTTATGGAGCTTTGGAGTCCAATTCAAAAGACGAATGGCTACTATGGGCCTTTTAAACTCACTTCAGCCACATTCGTGTATTCGATCATAACTCAGAAGCAAAGAACTTGCACGTTTATGAAAGATAACGCGAGTGAGTCATTTCAACTTGTCTGATAATAATTATTTTCAAACCAATATGTTTACGTTTTAGGCATTTTTTTAATTTAACGACATTTACAGTGAGCCAAAATGGTCCTCGGTCCTAGGGTCGTCTAGTTTCAAACAAATATTCTGACGCTTCTGAAAATGACAAACGGATACATTATCTCAAGAAAGATCCCCGCCAATCTTTCGAAATGTTTTTGTTCCAGTTGCCAGTCCCAGCCAGTCTGGAATACAACCATGGGGGATAGCACTGGCGGTACTGCTCCCTCTGTTGGCTGTTGTGGGTGCCGGTGTTGCGTTGTGGTGGAAGTGGTGAGTTGTAGCGTTACACTTGTATTTTTTCTAAACGCTCTCGATGAGGTTTGCGGCGCAGAATAGGTCCACAGCATCCACATACTTGTAGTAGGAGTTGAATGCACGGTTGGTTACAGTGTACAACCTGGATGATTGTGTATCGCTATTTTATAAATGTAACGCAAGCGACTGACCAAGCTGTATCCTGTCGGAGTGAGTGAGTATGGTTTTACGCCGCTTTTCGCAATATTCCAGCAATACCGCGGCGGGGGACACCAGAAATACACATTGTACCCATGTCGGGAATCGAACCCGGGTCCTTGGCGTGACAAGCGAACGCTTTAACCACTAGGCTACCCGACCGTCCCCTGTATCCTGTAGGAAGTGTGTTAAATGGGAAACTTTTGCCAGAATCAACTGTGTTTGAGTTGAACTGGGTTTGCAGGCGGACACACCCTACAAGAAAAGTCATTTTGTTCGTCTTTTTTCTCATTCGCAACAATCCATCTTAAGGTATCCTTGATAGTGAATGAATGAGCTGGGTTTTACGCATTATTGAACAGTATTCCAGTTATATCACGGCGTGTCAGCATAATGTGGGAGGAAAGCCTGAAGTGATGAGTGATATTGGGAGTGAGTGAGTTGGGTTTAACGCTGCTTTTAACAGTATTCCAGTTATATCACGGCGTGTCAGCTTAATGTGGGAGGAAAGCCTGAAGAGATGAGTGATATTGGGAGTGAGTGAGTTGGGTTTAACGCTGCTTTTAACAGTATTCCAGTTATATCACGGCGTGTCAGCTTAATGTGGGAGGAAAGCCCGTAGTGATGAGTGATATTGGGAGTGAGTGAGTTGGGTTTTAACGCTGCTTTTAACAGTATTCCAGTTATTATCCCGGCGTGTCAGCTTAATGTAGGGTAAAAGCCTGAAGTGATGATGAAACACACGTGCACGGGTGTGGTGCAGACAAACCTAGAAACATAAGCGGTGCGAAGCTGGATTCGAACCAACAATAATAAGTTTCTGGGACGCAACTGCCCAACAAATTGCGGCGCCTTAGACGCACGGGCCGCCCATGTCCCTTATTCTTGACAGTAAATAGGAAATTATACAGAGACGTGTTTTACGATACAAGGTATTGCTGTAGTAAAGTCATGTCGTCCCTATCTCCACAGCCGGCGTGCTCAGAAGGACCATTCGGACCAAGAGATGGCGAATGTCAGAAGGCCACCACGTCAGAACACTCGCTGATGCTACACAATTCACACCAGGGACATGCAGCGATATGTGTCAAAGGGATATACTGAAGTGACAACACCAGAGACACATGAGATGCACTGGTGAAACAAACTACCCCACCAATACTACTGGGATCAGATATGTGTCAAAGGGATATACTGAAGTGACAACACCAGAGACGTATGTGATGCACTGGTGATACAAACTACCCCACCAACACTACTGGGATCAGATATGTGATAACAAAAACACACTGTTGTGACTGCATCTGCGACAACTCAAAACGATTTTAGCATGAATGAAAGTTGTACCAATATACACCACATCACTGATTTAATTTCAAACAAATCTATGAAAGCACAGATGTAACTGTTCATCAGTTTGCAAAATTCTCGTTGATACACCATGACAACAAAGGTATTATACATACCAATATATTCACATTTTCTGCAAACTGTAAACATTACATACGAGTAAATGATTTGCTCAATTGACCCCGGAAGATGCCGTGTAATGTGGACATTTTCAGTTCTTGATCTGATCTTTATAATTTACCTGGCAGTTTGTGGTACCGAACATGATTTGATAAGAATCAGACTATTCTCAATTCAAATCTCCTATTCTGTATTCTGTACACAATCGTGTGCCCTGTTTGTCGACGTAGACGCGTAAACACGTTGACCTGATGAAAGGAGCCTCGTGTAAATGTTTCCTGAATTATGTATAATCCCTGGACATTCCGGGATTGTGGTAAATGTCTGAACATTCCGGGGATTACGGATAATGTCAGACCATTCCGGAGATTATGGGATGTCTGAACATTCTGGGGATTATGGGTAATGTCTGAACATTCTGGGGATTATGGGTCATGTCTGAACATTCTGGGATTATGGGTCATGTCTGAACATTCTGGGGATTATGGGTAATGCCTGAACATTCCAGGGATTATGGGTAATGTCTGATCATTCCGGGATTATGATTAATGTCTGAATATTTCGAGGATTATGGATAATGTCTGAACATTCCAGGGATTATGGGTAATGTCTGAACATTCAGGGATTATGGGTAATGTCTGAACATTCAGATAAGTATGGTAATGTCTAAACAATCCGGGGATAAAGCGTAATCCCTGAACATTCCCTGGATGAAAAGTGATGCTTAAACATTCCGGGGATTTTTTGCTTTAGTGTCTCAACTTTCCGAGGAGTATTGGTAATGTCTGAACATTGGTGATGTCTGAACATTCAGGGGATTATGGGTAATGTCTAACCTTTCCAGGGATTATGGGTAATATTGTAACCAATACCCAACGCATTATGGGTAGCTGTTATGCAATGTTTGTCACTGTATTGGCACACCAGTAAGATGACATTTGAAGAGAGAATGTTTTATTTCTGAGTATATGTTTAAAGTCATCGGAAAATCATCACATAATTCAGTTTATTCACATATTGTACATGTCATTGTTTTGAATTGATCATGTATTTTTAGATATTCTTTTATACAATGTGTGATAAATGTTAAAGCATATTTTTATGTATGTCTCTATGTTATATATAAATTATGTATTTTATGCCATTATGTGTTGATTGTTTTCGTCTTAACGTCATCGAACGACACAGCTGCTGAAGTTGCCGAAACAATGAAGGAAGTATTGGTTGCAGGTACTGATAAACCATCCCGGTTGTATAAAAGCTATTTACCTTTTTCCATTTTGAGATTGTGTTTGATGTGACATTCACTTCGGTTAAACTCAGCTGACAAAAGGAAATGACACGGACATAATATATCCCCAAAATATGTCTTTAAACAAGAGCGTCAAAACCCATTCCACAGTTATAAAGAAAGTTTGCTAGAAGCAGAGGTCATTATACGATTTCGACTGTATCACAAACATGAGTAATAGGCGAATATGCTTGCTGTAAGAGGCGATAAACGGGATCGGACGGCCAGGCTCGCTGACTTAGTTGATGCATGTCATTGTATTGCATTTGCGTGGGTCGATGCTTATGATGTCAATGACCATTATCGATTATCTACAGACCTCTGTCATATAGCTGTAATTTTGCTGAGTTTGACGTTAAACAAGAAACAAACATAAACATGAGTTTTTGAATGCAAAGGCATGTGTCACCTGAACAAAAACGGGACTAAATGGCCCATGTCAAAATAGGGAATTGCATTGGACATCATATATTATTTTAACTGATACATCATTTATTAAATGTCTGCCTCATGTATACCATAAAACAGTTTTGAAAGCCTTGAAGGCTGTATTGAGGCCTTGAATGTTGTAGCCCCGATCACTATGTTTTCAACAAAAGTCGTATCATGTTTAAGAGTCTTTAAAATGTTCGAAGAAAGAAAATACTGAACCTCCAACGTTGTGAAATGTAGGCAGCAGAGACTGGAGCTGCTGAAATACTGCTCGACATAAAGGGAAGGTAGACTACTATAACGTGGACGTCATCCCTCTTGTCATAGTCTCGTGGATATTTGACACTGTCAATCTTTACCATTTATGCATAGATCTAAATATGAACCTGATGAGACGGTTAAATAGTATAGGATCTACCGAGAGTTAGATAAACCGGTATTCCCAGTTTCGAGTTGGTCTTTCCTACCTATAATCAAATTTAGTGGGAACCTCTCCATCACTTACCACCTTCGAAATTTTTTGCGACATTCGTGACCACCTCGTGTTATTCCGTGACAAGCCGAATAGCGACTCGTGCCCCTCTCCATTCGTCAACACTCGCCCCTTTCCGTAACCTGCAAGAAGACTCCAAGAAAATGGCGATGAGAGGGGCACGAGTCGCTATTGGGCTTGTCCCGGAATAACACGAGTTGGTCACGAATGGCCCATCTCATTGCCATTTTTGCGACCGGGTTCCGTCTTAGCGAAAACGGGCATACCTAACACAATTGCCAACTCGTTGCGTAGTGGTCCACATATATTTCCCCATATATTATATATATTTCACCTGCAATGTATTTTTTTAAGCACATCGGGACATGCGGAATTATACAGTATGATGGAACACATTTAACTGTGTCTTGGGTATATTTTTAGATGCAAGACATATGTAAAATAAAAAAGATATTTCTGAGGAATTCTTTGACGAAGAACTTGAAATCATACGCGCATTCTGATTGGTTTGTCGTATTTTCGCACATAACATTCATCGACAGGTGGACGAGTCTTCTTGCATGTTACGGAAAGGGGCGAGTAGTGACGAATGTTCTTGCGACTGTAACCCGAAAGAAATGTATCCCTACCCAACAGTAAACAAGCGACTTTTTCACGGCATATCGGATTGTTTAAAATGGTTTGCTATTACCATTTAAATTCAGTTCATTTTGTAACACTTACACTTATACAAAAACATGCAAAATGCAAGAAATTTAAACTTGCTGTTGTATCTAATGCATTAACTTTAACAAATGCAAATTAACAAATCGACATCGCCGAGGGCGAGAATGTGTTCACGCGTGTTGACGTAACGTTACAGCAGCTCAGTAAGCCAATATCTAAGTTTTCGAAAATGACCAAGTTGAAGCCAATATTTAAGTTTTCGAAAATGAACAAGTTGAAGCCAATATTTAAGTTTTCGAAAATGAACAAGTTGAAGCTAATATTTAAGTTTTCGAAAATGAACAAGTTCTATATTCCTTTCTTATTCTATATCAGCTCGTGGATTATAGACTGAAAAGACGAACAATTGAAAAGTAGTACCGGCGACCAATGAAAAACCGAGTTCATACAAAGACTATGTAATTTCATAGAGCAAATGCGAACGTGGAGAAACTTTCCTTCGCGGATATGGAACATTTCGATATATTAATGGAAAAATAACACCAAGTTACAGACTGAAAAAAGAAATCCCTTTTCTAGACGTCCACTGTTGAAACCCGAAACTAAACACAGAAATATCAACTATTCGATTTACGTCTCGTCAGTGAGCGAGTGAGTGAGCGGGACAATGTTCGTGTTTTAACCAACAGTGCTTAACATGATGATTATATGATTGTACTTTCCCTCAACTTCAGGGATATTGGAACATTCCCATATATTTCATGGAAAACATAACAGCAGGTTACAGACTGATAACTGAATTTTTCCGGATCAGTATACCGACCGGGACCAATACAAAATGCGAATCAGGTTACCGGGAAAATTCAACTTCAATATTATCCGTAACAGTCTTGACGTCTTCAAGATAGTTGACAGACGTGTTACAATTCAGTTTATCACTGACACTGTGGGGGTCAGTTTTGGTCAGTACAAACCATCTTAACCTTTACACTCCACATGAGTAAGTTGTCCGCAAAACCCTTTCCATATTTTATGCCGACACCAGATCATAAACAGAGTCAAAACTGTAGAGCAAACAGTGGCAACATTAGGCTTTTCCCCAATCAAAAAGTACAAGTGGTGACTGTAAGAGTAATGCCTATGAGCATGTATCTAACGGCAGTGCGTGCAGCTGCAGTGATTGTGACTAGTCATTACTTCCCGATGGTCGTCATTTTGTTAGTCGCCTCTTACGACAAGCAATAGTCGCCTCGTACGGCAAGCAAGGGTTGCTGAAGACTAATATATAATTATTCTCTAGCCGGGTCTTCATGGATCGCATGGAGATAGAGATCGAGTACAGCGAGCTCCCCTTCGACAAAGGTCGTCCCCCACCGCCTCTTCAAAGACGTCTGCTACCGAGACTTTGGACATGGACGTTGAGAGGTGGGAGGAACTCGCCCGCCGACTTCGGGCGATGGAGGCAGGAGCTCAGCCGAAGGTGCTGCAGGAGGCCCCAGAGGACACAAATAGACTCGGTGGAAGAACAGCCAGAATGCAACTCCAGCAGATTCCATTTACAAGTGCAGGGATATATCCAGCCACAACAGGCGCAATCTCATTAAAATCAGATCTAAGTTATCGCTGTCCCTTAACAAAGATCTGAGGACATCTCATTAGGGGTCACGTCAGAACGACCTTTCATCCGACCAATCAGAGCGTCGCTTACCAGATCATGAAGGTAACAGTCGGAATGTGATTTCTCAATCTCATTAAAATCAGATCTAAGTTATCGCTGTCCCTTAACAAAGATCTAAGGACATCCCATTAGGGGTCACGTCAGAACGACCTTTCATCCGACCAATCAGAGCGTCGCTTACCAGATCATGAAGGTAACAGTCGGAATGTGATTTCTCAATCTCATTAAAATCAGATCTAAGTTATCGCTGTCCCTTAACAAAGATCTGAGGACATCACATTACGTGTCACGTCAGAACGACCTTTCGCGAATTTTGACCGACCACTGAAATGACTATTAGTAACAAGAAGTCGACATCAGCCAATTTGAAAGCAGCTTTCTCGACCTTTACGGCACAGAATGTATAGCAGTGCTTCCCACATACTGTGCAATTCCTCCTCCGTTCAATTGTTTATCCCATGGAAGCGAGAGACAGACGATAATATTGACGGAATCAGTCGTGTGGGTCGTAACTGTCGTTCGGAATATCCCGTGTTAACGTTTTTGGAGGTTGCATGATTAGAAAACACATTCCAACTGTCACTTTCATGATCTGGTAAGCGACGCTTTGATTGATCGGATGAAAGGTCGTTCTGACGGGACCCGTAATGTGATGTCCTCAGATCTTTGTTTAGTGATAGCGAGAATTAAGATCTAATTTTAATAAGATTGGTGATTTTTAACAACTGAACCCGTACAATCTACACCATCTATTAGCCATTCCACAATGTTCTTTTGTTCAGGTTTCAGATTTTTAATCGAGAATTTGTTTCGAAGAGTAGTCGCCAATTTGAAATTAGTGCCGTAAAGCAAGAGAAAGATGCCTTCGGATTGGCTAATGTCGACTTCTTGTCAGTCCTTCCATTGGTCAGTCAAAGTTCGCGCAAGGTCGGTCTGACGTGACCCGAAATGGGATGTCCTCAGATCTTTGTTTAGCGGTAGCGAGAACTAAGATCTGATTTTAATTAGATTGCAACAGGCGTCGCTCTGCCAGCTGCAACTTACCTCCTGTTGACCCTGGCAGAAATGCATGGTATCTCGAGATTGGCGGATGCCTACAGATAAAAAAAGACAAACAACTGATCATCGTATACAGAAGTCTATAACAAAGTGTCCAAAAACGTTCACTAATTTTATCTATATAAAGAAAAAAATTGAGCACCTATACAATAAGAAAATAATCTCAAATCAAACACGCACGTACACACGAACGCACAACACAACTAATCACAATGAAATTTATATGCACACACTTTGAAAATGCCTGGCGAATTGTGGGTAAGATAGAGTCGGAGGGAACGTCAATGTCCCAGTGTGGGGTTGCAATGAGACCTTAAAGTGCCAGGCCTAAAACGCGACACCTAGACAAGATCGTATCATTACATTAATTTCACCATGCAATAGGTTCAGATCCGCCCCCGTTATCAATAGAGAATTCCATACAAGAACAGGAAGGCTAATGTCAACATCGACCGTTAAAACAGCCTTAAATCAAGGTGTCCTCTGAAGGGTGTGACAGCTTAGACGGCAAAGATTGCGGTGGCCTAAGCAAAACCAGAGACGGGTTGTGCGCCAATGGCCATGTTTGCAGACGAATCAAGGTTTTGCCTCCTATTGACACATGGCAGAAAACGTTACTGGTGACGTAGCGGCGCGCCGTGTGCCAGGACAACAATTATTGACCATATTCGTGCGAGGATGGTAGTGTCATGGTGTAGGGCGGTATCACTTATGACTGGCGAACTGATTTGGTAATTGTGAAAGGACATTTGAATTGTGCGTCCTGTCGTTCTATTCGCTGGAATTATAGGCAGAAAGTATGAATTACATGGCGACAATGGCAGACCACATGGTGCTCGGGTCGTCACCGATTATCTCCCACGGACATTGCGGACATTGGACTGGCCTCCAAACCCCCTGACATATACCAAACAGAGCATCTGTGGGATGTTATCGTGAGGAGTGAGTACGTCAGAGACCCGACACCCGACACCCGACAAAGTGGCCAAGCTTTGGTAGCTCTTCAGGCGGAATGGCGAGCAATACCAAGGGCAACCAAGTGCAAGTTAATCAACAGTATGCCATCAAGATGTCATGTAGAGCCAAACATGCTGAACACATCAGATATTGATCTGCACAACCGAAATTTTATATTTTACAGACATTAGCGTTATAACACCTTCACTATCATTTCATCAGTGAACCATGAAGATCCGGGTTAGAATAGGTCTTCAGCAACCCACGCTTGCCTTAAAAGGCGACAATGCTTGCCGTAAAAGGCGATTATGCTTGTCGTAAAAGGCGACTAACGGGATCGGGTGGTCAGGCTCGCTGACTTGGTTGATGCATGTCATCGATCCCTATTGCGTGGATCCATGCTCATAATGTCAATCACTGGATTGTCTGGTCCAGACTCGATTATTTACAAACCGCTGGAATATTGCTGAGTGCGGCGTTAAACAACAAACCAACCAACCAACCATTTCATCAGTTAACTTACTTTTTGTCGGTAGTACAGTATATTAAACATCCAGCACCTCATACACAAAACAAATAACATTTCAGCTTCACATATTAATTCATAACCTTACTTAAACTTACCCAAGCTTTTTGATTTGCTTAATGGACCTGTTTAAAGGTTGGTGATTGAAGGGCGGTGTTTCCAGCCACGATAAAGCATCATTCACCTGTGTTAAAACTGAGTTCGTGTCTGATGGAAGCCTGTTTCAAGCTGAATGTAAACACAAGAGGCATTTCGGCTAAACTGGAGATGGAGAATGTGTATGCACACCTCTCGGCGACATGTCACAACGTCAACATAAATCAGGAGGTCTTTTGACAATATACCATGCGCCCATTTGAATGTAAATGTCGACACCGTAATTTCTGCGTTATTCTTTTATCACATTGCACACAGGCCGGAAGTCAGGGTGCTCGCAATCTTGTCCAGCTTACGAATCACGGGTCATATCAACCAACTTCTGTCAACAAAGAGAGTTAATTTTATAAAAGAGATTGAACGACTAACACCAGTAATACACGCACTCCACAATGGGTTCATGGAGATGTAAATACCAGCTATTATAAATTACGAGCTATAATGAGACTATCAGTTATCCAGGCCTGGTTGTCCAGATAAGAACGTGCTGTGTGAAGAATATCACTTAAGGGAGATGCACGTTCGTACCTTGAGCTGCTGAAGGCTGGAAGAACAGAGGTAAATCCTATGAACGAAATTGTACCAAGACCAGATCAAGTCACCCCGCCAGGATACCATGCATGCTATGTCAATTTAGCTTCCCTGTGTGGGACCGTATGAGTGACGCTAGTGTGGTTTTAATGCTATGTAATCAAACATCAGAGAAGCAGCACTACCCGGCTTTGTGGAGTGACGGTACCGTGACGTGGGACTCAAAGTGATGCTGGACAGTGTTTAATACAGCGACATGAGACGCATGGTGGCATATGATTCAGTGTCTTCCGACGTGCAGTGACGTGTCAAAATCTATCTGCCGTACAGTGACTACAACAAAATCACATCCAGTGTACAGTGTCCAAAACAAAATCCCATCTGGTGTACAGTGACTACAACAAAATTCCATCCAGTGTTCAGTGACTACAACAAAATCCAATCCAGTGTACAGTGTCCAAAACAAAATCCCATCTGGTGTACAGTGACTACAACAAAATCACATCCAGTGTACAGTGACAACAACAAAATCACATCCAGTGTTCAGTGACTACAACAACATCACATCCAGTGTACAGTGTCCAAAACAAAATCACATCCAGAGTACAGTGACTTCAACAAAATAACATCTGGTGTACAGTGACTACAAAACAGTCCCATCTAGTGTACAGTGACAACAACAAAAACACATCCAGTGTACAGTGACTACAACAACATCACATCCAGTGTACAGTGACTACAACAAATAACATCTGGTGTACAGTGACTACAATAAAATAACATCTGGCGTACAGTGACTACAACACAATCCCATCTAGTGTACAGTGACAACAACAAAATCACATCCAGTATACAGTGACTACAACAACATCACATCCAGTGTACAGTGACTACAACAAAATAACATCTGGTGTACAGTGACTACAATAAAATAACATCTGGCGTACAGTGACTACAATAAAATAACATCTGGTGTACAGTGACTACAATAAAATAACATCTGGCGTACAGTGACTACAACACAATCCCATCTAGTGTACAGTGACAACAACAAAATCACATCCAGTATACAGTGACTACAACAACATCACATCAAGGGTAAAGTGACTGCAATAAAATCTAGTTTAAAGTACATTGGCATATGATAAAGACCTATCTGACAGTGAAGTGTAGCGTATGCCAATAACGGGACTGCTATGTCCACCGGGGGCGTCGTACTGTGCTGTATCACACTATGGTGTGTTGTATCGGGGCATTCAGAGAAACGAGCGGCTCTGAGCAGGCTACATGATGTCTTGCTTGGGCGAACGAACAAACATATTCCTCCTTTCTTTGACAATAGCTCCACGATTGATGTAAATGTAACGTTTGAGCCGATATCCATCACTGATCTGGATTCGGCAAGCCAGGTCCTGTCTGTACTCGCCTTCTATGAACTTGAGTGGCGTGATATGAACTTAACATGGAATACATCCGAGTACTATGACAATACCTTCATTGAAGTCGAACCTGACAGTGTGTGGACCCCCAATGTATTTTTGGCGAACGGCATTGATAGTCCGGTGCCAGTCGCCAGGCAAAATATTCTTGTAACATGGCAAGGTTTTGTGACGTGGCAACTCCCAGGTACTTTCCGCACATCGTGTAAAATAGACGTGTTAAAATACCCTTTCGATAACCAAACGTGCAGCGTCAACTTCATGCCGACATTCGGATACAAAATAAATCTAAAAATAAAAAGAGCAAATTTACAAAGTTATAGTGACATTACCATTCAGAATGGGGAGTGGAATTATCTACAGATGAATTGCTATCATGTGTCGATACAGGGAACAGGCGTGAAGTCAACCGTGTTTACAATAACATTAGAAAGAAAGTCGACCTACTACATCATCAACATCATCTTTCCTATGGCGCTGATGTCCATCCTGAACCCCTGTGTGTTCCTAATCCCCGCCCGATCGGGGGAGAAGCTTGGCTTCCTGATGGCTGTGTTTGTTTCCCACGCTGTTTTCCTCAACCTCATTCAACAGACCATGCCCCCCACCTCCGACTCCTTGTCCTTGCTGGCCCTGTTCCTGGTTCTACTGGAGACGCAGGGCTTCCTCACCATCCTCGCGTCCATCGTTGTCCTCGGCGTACATCACCGGAAGGAGCAGGCTGATGAAAAGGCAGCAAAGGCGAAGAAAGGAGAAGAACACGTCAACACGAATGGGACTGATTTGGTTGAAGTGAGACATGGAAGGCGATTCTTGGGGAGATACAGGTGTTGCTCACTTGAGAGAGCTTTGGATGGAGTGTTCTTTGTATTGTCGTTGGCAATATCTGTTTGTGGTTGTGTTACATGGTTGATTGTGCTATATGGTTGATTGTGAGTGAGAGAGGAACGGGGCGAGGTGGAGGTGCTTTCCTTGGTATGATTGCACAGGAGCTAGTTGTAGACAAGCAAGACCCCATTACACACAACAGCCAAAGCTATTAACCTTAGCCACTGAGGTTAGAATTAAGGTTACCTTCGTCTGAAGTATTGCCTATGACATCTTGCGCTGAAGCCATTACTTGTATGCTGTCGGAGGCACGACAGTATAGGTTTTCTTTGCCTATTTCTAACGCAGTTTAAGAGTGCCGATTAACATCAGATGTTTCGTTTGATTGTTTGTTGTTTAACGCCCCACTCAGCAATATTCAACCTATATGACGGCGGTCTGTAAATAATCTCATCCTACTTATACTTCCTTACACCCTTAGCGGATGCCGTTTCCATCGAGGACAAAAGTGCCACCCTCCAAGACGAGGTACATAAGTGTCTCTTCACAGAAAGTTTTAAAAATCGCAATGTAGTTTTATTCTAAGGTTTCACTCAAATTATTGTTTTTCATGCAACCTGTCATAAGGTGGCTAGCTTTTTCAGGACGCATGCCTCTGAAATTATGCGCAGATTAAAATTGTCTACTCGGATATTTCATAATTGAAACTGAAATTGCCCCGTCCCCGTTGTACAATGAACGTCACTAAATATATATATTCACAATGTACTAAAGATATAGACGCAATCTCATCCTACTTATACTTCCTTCCACCCTTCAGTTGTTAATTCTAATCAGACATTAGAAGTACATTCACTGTCATGAATACAAGTTAAATCTTCAACCTATTTTAAGAATTTGCGGATGCCGTTTCCATCGAAGACAAAAGTACCACCCTTCAAGACGAGGTACATAAGTGTCTCTTCACAGGAAGTTTTAAAAATGCAATGCACATGCCTCTGAAATTATGTGCAGATTGAAATAGCGTACTCGGATATTTTTATAATTGAAACTGAAATTGCCCCGTCCTTTAATAACATTGTAGATTAAACAACCCACATACTCATATGATAGAAGGTATACTTTTTCTGACTAATAACAATAAACAAATGAAGTAATATAATATTATGTATTCTTTAACTTATACTCCATACATATGTTTTTTAAACTACTACTTGGAGCTGATTACCCATGTCACATACGTGGTGACAGACGCTTTTATTGTCTTGAGTGTGTATTAATTGTTCAAGTCAATTTCTTTGCAAGCTTATTGTTCAGCAAGTAAACGTTCCTCCTCAAATGAAATTTTGTTATTTTTATTGACTGCCTAACACCGAGTCTGGTTACAGAGTAGAATTATCATCACATTAACTGGACATTTTCATCCATTGGTTTCAGCGAATTGGTGGTCCAGTCGTCTATGGCGCCGTAATTCGCTGTGCAGATTTGCGACCCTTGGGCATGCCAAACCTTTAAACGTGGGTTCGAATCCCAGTTCATCCCGAATATGTTTCTAGGTTTGTCAGCACCATACCTATGCTCGTTGGCTTTCATCAAGGTACTAAACGTCTAAGACCTGCATCACTTCGGGCTTTCCTCCCAGATGTAACTGAAATACTGTTCAAAACGGCGTTAAACCCAACTCATATACTCAATTTATGAAATGAGTGATTTAAGATTATTCGTCTCAACACCTTTCCTCAATTACGTAAGGACGTACGTGAAAATACATTACCGGGACAACAAGGCACTAGCAGCGAAAAGTTTGTTTGGCTTCGCCAGCCTCGCATTGCAAGCTATATATTGAGTGAAAGATCCCTCTATACATTGTATGGAAGACCTCAAAATGCCAATGGTGTACACGTGAATTAAGTTGTACTTCTCCATTACACAAGTCAACGGTCAACCTGGTGAACGGATACCACAGTGACTAGGTAACTGACCGAATGATATTGTCAATGTTATCAGGGATTGTGCTATACAGAGATACCATAACTACAACACCTACATTTTATGACAGATAATATTGCTCTGATGGCACACGATTACAGGACACACCGGAGAGAAAACGGTATTGCTAAAAAATGTCCCGTCAAAGCATGTACTTTACAATACATGACTTTCTGGAAGACAACCCTGGTGTAAGACATGGATTAAAGGAGACCCAATCCGAAAGCCAGATTGCAATTCTGTGAGATGGTTTTCAATTAATATTACTGGAATCACATTCAAAATAGTTAGGCTTCATTCAATCAGCGGTTTCGGAGAATATTGCGTAAATTAAAAAGAAGTTTATGATAGTGAAGCGACGAAAAATACGCAATAATTACACTTCACATAAAACATAATTACCATGGATCAATTTTAATATGATACATGAACATATAGAGATACGTGTAGCTCATTAGGCCCTGTCAACAACCGAATATAGACATTACAACCTAAGAACGCAGGGGAGCACGATAGAATATCGGGAATAGATTACATTGAACATGACACCTGACTATGGATCTGATGGAGCCACTATGGTATGTTATTTATTCAAATTTTCCAATAAAACAAAGGAGTCGTTTTCATAATTTGTAAGATATTGCATCCCATCTTTCAACGCAAAAAATAATGTTATCAAACACAAACACATCATATCAACTGAATAAGCTTTATATTTGAACGAAAAAAACTATTTCACAGGTTAACATGTCGGTTTTACGACGAAAAAATTTTCAAACAATATGCTGTTGTTGAAGAATGTCTAGATATGGGTAACTCACAAAAAAGCACATAAACATCACTGAAATGGGATTTTCCATATCCACCTTCATCCAGAGGTGTCTCTTGAACATCCTGCATCATGGATTGCCCGAGATTCACTGGTGTCAGAGGTGCTTCCAAACTGTCCAGAGGTAAAGATGTCTCTTGAACATCCTGCATTCATGGATTTGTTAGGATTCACTGGCGTCATAGGTGTTTCCAAATTGTCCAGAACTGAAGATGTCTCTTGAACATCCTGCTCCAATCACTGGTGTCATAGGTGCTAAACTGTCCAGAGATGAATATGCTTCTGGAGTGACATCTCCCCTTTTGCCGGTAATACCCATCTTTGATTCTTTGCACAAAAGACAAATATATGATTGAAAACATAACATTTAAAGAAAATTACACAACCCTTGTCACTTTAGTTGCAAAAACATGTGTTAACTGAATGGAGAAACTATTATGTTGACAATTACATCAAAGCCATCTGTCTTCTGAAATATTACAAGGAAAACATAAACAATATTCAAAGACGTCAAACTGAATTAATTTGGTTTCAAGATACCTTATCACTAATCTTACAATACCCTATGTCACTATTGAAAACATAAACTTATCTATAAACTGTTTGTCAAAACCCTTGGCAAGCCTCGGAATTTTTCCCCTTTTATCAACTCGTGTTGATATATTTGACATCAAAAGACACTCGGGTGTGATTCTCTATTGATCACTTATCTTAAAATAATCTATGTCACTATTTGTCAAAACCCTTATTACCCTTTGTCACTACTGTTACAGAACCACTAAACACATAATATTGGCGAAAATATGTCTACCAATCTTTCAGTTCAAGTCAATTTTGTAAAACTTGAAGAGATGTTTTATAAAAATTTAAAACACGTATTAAAATTAAGTAACACTAAGTTACAACATATTCTTTCAGGTTTTACAATCCCTAGTCACTACTGTTACAATTCAGTGTCACCACAGTTACAACATATGCACTTCGAGTAAAACTGTTGGTATTTCAATGAAATTGGTATCAGTTTTTGTGAAACCGTTTTTACTGAAAAAATGCACTTTGAAAGTAATTCTCTGCAATTGTAAAACTTAATCCCTAAACCATTTTCCTACAACATTAAATCAGTTGTCACTACTGTTACATTTTGTGTCCCCACTGTTACAAAACAACTAAAACGTATGAGATGAACACTTATGTCAATCAGTTCAAAAAAATCTGTCAAGCAATGTCAAACTTACATATATTATTATTGTTTCAAACAGCTAAGAATATTAGCTAACACTTTTATTTATGCACTTTAGTCAAAATGTGTTACAATCGCTAAATCCCCAGACACTGCTGTTACAATTAAGTGTCCCTACTGTTACAAGTATTTAAAATACTCATTACTGTTGCAATCACAGATGTGATTCTGCTAATTTTGAAAATAAACTTAATTGAAACAAAGTATATTAGTTTGAGTGGTGATGTAAGTAAAGCAGAATCTGTATTGAGATTCATTTCAGTCTCAACTGTTACCATCCTTCGTCACTACTGTTACCATCCTTCGTCACTACTGTTAGGATCCTTCGTCACTACTGTTACATATACTTGCCGTGTTGTCTGTTTTCTGGCCATGCATGTGTGCATTTTTCAGAACTTTCAAGCAAAATCATTGTATTCATTATAATAATTATTTGTACAAACAGCTATGAATTATTCTTTCAGTTTTCCTGCAGAATACTAGTTCAACTGACGATATGTCCCCACTGTTACAATGTCTCTCCACACTGTTACATTATAACACAAATGACATTGTAACAGTAGTGACCGGAACATTAGTGACAAATCACTGAACTTTCATTTCTAAAATAATGATTGGTCCATAAGGATCATAACGCACATGCTTCCCAAACTATGCACAAAAGCCCAGTGACATAACAAAACATGAAATATGAAAAACGACTTAACTTATGTGTTGTAATTTATTTATTTCTGCAGTCTCCCAAAAACAGGTACAGCCATGTTGACATCCAAAAAGCAAGGCTTTGGAACAGGAAGTAGTTTAAGCAGTCAGCAAGGGAGACGCCATTTATTCGATTTTTTTAGTTCTGATAACAGTAGTGACATGTAACCTTGTGACAAGCATAAAAAAGGAAATAAATAAAATATTTTTCATTCAAAAATATTTAAATTATATTGTTATACTTAATATAAGATAATCTTTATAGTATAGATATATGCAAAAATGTCTGACAAAAACTTATTTTGGATTAAAATTGAATATCATGAAGTTGGGCCTTCAGGCTTGTGGCAAGCCAAAATGGGCAAAATTTGACCCTTCAAAGTAATTTTTTGGCGCTTAACTATAATTTATAGCTATTTTTTATATGGTAATACGTGCAGACATATACAAGATACAATTTAAGATTAAAACACATTTTTAGAATAACAAAGAAATCGTACAAATTTGGGAAATGATTCAATATATACATTTATAAGGAGAAAGGTAAGATATATGATCCGAATTTATCTTGCCTAATTACAATCTTAAATTGTTCAGGAAAGAAATGTAATACCTTTGCACAATTATTGTGGCTTACCAGATACATTGCTTGCACCTTAAAATTAAAATTAGAAATGGGTGCCTCAACTAGGATAAACCAGGATATAATACCATTCCTGGGAAAGCACTGACGACATTTATAGCGTTTTGCCCACTGCCTAAATTAACCTCTTGGTACATGTAGATGGATTGACGTCAGCAAAGAAATAGAATATATACATTATTAGTATAGTGAGTAAGAATATTGCTTCATCGATACATGTCACCCTGATCGCAATACCCGTCATGATATTGTTGGAATATTGCTAAAAGCGGCATGAAACAATATTCACTTACTGGTCATAATGAAAATGAAATGTTTGTGGCTTAAACAGAATACGAAAAATCTGAAATACGATATGCATGGCTGTATTAACATGTGCCCGCATTTACAGAATATGGACATTTGTGGTAGCTGCTAGTGGCACGAATAAAACTTGTGCATGCGTTTTAAATGAAGTTTTATTTCGATTTTGCCATCAACTGTTACGGTATGTTTAACTCACTCAACCCTTGCTTGGACGAGTACATAGAACTGTATTTGAAAATACATATGTGTAGAGAGGCAAATTTTATATCTTTCAATATAAGCTCTCGACACCTGTCAATTGAGCGACAGGACCAACAAATCTGAAAGTCCATTGTGTTCGACAATTTTACACCCGTCCGACAAAGTGATAGATATTTTAAACAGATATTCGACAATGTCACTCAGAAACATCAGTATCCCCGGAAATGTAACATGATTCATTACTGGAAAAACACAGATTTTGTTTCATTATGCCCATACATGTGGATCACTAATTCGTGAGTGAGTTTGATTTTAAGCCGCATTTAGCAATATTCCAACAATATCACGGCGGGGGACACCAGAAATGGGCTTCACACATTGTACCCATGTCGGGAATCGAACGCGGGTCA